ATCACGCTTGCGCCACAGGCGAGGCGTCTGCAATAGTGTAAAGATTGCCGCCGAAATTCGTTCAATCCCTTATTTTACCTGCAACTTATAATTTTCTCAAAGCGAGATGCGATGTTAGGAGGCACAAAAAACTAACATGCCATTATAAAACACCTTTGGCGTGTTGCAAACTGAATTTGTAATCTGTACATGCATCAGGTGAGAATAAAATTACATTCATTTTGTTGAAAATTTATTTTCATATGCCTTCTACAAAAATACATTTTTTATACACGTTATTAATTTTATAATCATACAAATTCTCTTTTTTTTAATTCCAAAGTCATTTCGACAATTTATTATTAATCACAGCAATTTATTACATACGAATGAAGCAATTTTGTACAAAATACTACACATTTATTTAATGATATATAATTCATACTTAGAACATTTATAGGACAATCAAAAAACATTAATTTTTATACAGCAATACTCTTGGCAATAAAGTATGTGCAGAAATAATTTTCCGAATAATGTATTTTTGTGTTAAAAACACAGTTTTGAGAGAGATTCTAGATAATATTAGTGTTGATTATATTAAATAAATTTTGATTATGCTATTGTGGCCTTAATGCCTCATTAAATTAATAACTCCTTAATTTAATTAATTAATCAATAAATTAATTAACGCATACCATTAAAAAATAACCATTTAATAATGAAATATTCTGCCAAGATAGTGATAACGACCCCTTAAATTGCTTTAGCTTAATTGACACTTGATACAATTTTTAAATGCAAATTATGTCGAAAGATTTAATATAATTTTTCTAATTAAATATGAAAATTATAATGAATTATAGAAAATTTCATACATGTATGAAAACAGTACATCACATACGAATACTTTTGTTATACCACCACTTATAAGACTGGATTGAAGTCACTAAAATCTATAGAAGCCTAAAATATATAACCTTAATTTAATTTTATTTGTGTTTTGAAGACGGAGTATATTTTAAATTTAATTATTTACGACTTAACACGTGCCATGCTTACTAAAAGGGACAATGGTATTGTAGGTCCCACTTAAGATAGTTCATGTCGCTAAGTGTGCGTAGGTATTTCTTTATGCCGAAAATTGTTATACGTTTTTAGTAACTTTAATTCATATAGATATTTCAGTGAAAATCTTCTTAATTTTCAAAACTAAATATGATCTGAACAGAAGAGATGGTTCATAAGCAACAAAAGAGAGCAAGAGAGAGAGAGAGAGAGAGAGCAATAATTTGCATCAATATAAATTAAAATTTAAATTAAGTGACAATATAGAAGTATAAAATTAAATGTAACTTAATACTTTCTTAGATTTAATTTCATTTTTCTACATGAATTTTTGAGATTTAAAATAGAACTATCTTTTCGGATCTTTTCGCTGTTGACTTGCTTTAAAAATCAACAATCCAGTCTTAAGCAAACACTTAATTAAAATTATCTAAAGGAATGCTTATATGTTTGCAAAGTCCTTTGGGCTCCCATAGAGCTCAAATACACATCGACAGTTTCATAACAAAATGATATTTATTGAAAATACATTTATTTCTAACATTTGATTATGAAACTGTGGAACAAAAGAGTTTAACTCATTTTCTACTTAAAGTAAATTAAAATAAAGCTGAAATTTAGTTGAATATATATATTTTTTATTCTTCTTAAATAATATCTATTTTGGCCGTGTAATACATGTGTCATTAAGATTATTAAATTACACGCATAGCCGTATTATAGTCACTAAATATTCGATATCTAATTAGGAATGAAAATGATATCAATATATCACTGGTGTATTACACTTCACATAAAACATACGTTTACACTTATTGTGGCAACGCTCTTATAACATTTTTGATATCTCATCTCATCTCCTTAATCTAATGAAACACTGAATTAGAAAAAAAACTAAATTAAGTATGAAAATTTATTAATTTTGGCGCACAGACGAAAGATTTGTGCGAGGACGAAACTCTTATTAACTTATGTGACGACACTCGATGAGTTTAATAGCGTCCATTTTCTTTATACCTAATATCTATTAAAGCCAGTAAACAAATAATAAGTTTAAGTAAATTAAATACTATTTAAATAGTACAAACAGTATTGATAAAATCATTAATATTTTTTGAGACCGTATCTATTTGTACAAACATACAAACAGCTTGTTTGATATGATTAGTGCGTCGCCACATTATGTAATAAACTTTGTTAGGCTCCTTACATAACACGAAACAAGTTGTAACGTTCCATTAGACAAGGACAAAAATTATATCTTACATCTTTGGCCTTTTTATGATTTGGCTGCACCAGTAGAGAAAGCACCTCAAGTAAGTCTACATAAAATATTAGGTTTAAACATTTTCCTAAAGGTATTAAACAATTTACAGCCCACATACGTATTTATACATATATATGATTATTGGAAATCATTTTAGATCAAAGTTCATAAAAAATGGCCGACAAATTACCTAAAGAAATTTAAAAAATTATGAAATCAAGATTAGTTTTCAATATGTTTGCCAATATAATAGATACATCATCTATACATATAATAAAACTGTAACTAAACCGAATCTGTACATTAGATATTTTTTGGAAAATCTTATTGAAATAAACATTATTATCGATACAGAGGCCGAATCTATAGTTTTTAGAATTTTTGTCTGTCTTGTCTGTCTGTCTGTTACCGCATCACAGAAAAACCACTGGAGGGATTTTGATGAAATTTGGTATGGTGGTAGCTGGTTATCCGGGACAATATATAGGATACTTTTTACTGCAGGAAAATATCTCATTTCTTAGAAAAAATACAAAAACTGCAATGTAAGAGTATACTAATATGTAAAACCTAAAAAATTGGTTTTTGGTCATCTGAACGCGGGCGGAGCCGCGGGCAATGCTAGTTAAAAATAAAATTGAAGTCAAAGTTACGATGCCTGTTGTAAATAATGAACGGTAGTAGACATTCCAAAATTAGATATTTATATTATTACATTTATTACAATTATTGCTAACGGTTTCTCTTAACTTATCAAGTTAATGCAAGCTATAATGATAATTTAATTCATCTATTCTTTACAAATTGCTTATTTATAATTTAAAAATATTTTTGATAAAGTAATATCTTAAAATTTAATATTATATAATATCATGATATTATTGATAATTATTGTGACATAATGATTTAAATAATGATGTAGGTAATTATTAAAATGAATGTAAAAAATAATAATTAACAAAAATATATATTATCCCCCTAACAGGAAAAACTTTCTCGCCAACGATAAACATAATGTATTCGACTCGATTATTATTGTAATGTTGTATGTTACAATACGCAATACATGTTGTATTGCGTATTGTAAACTGATTCAGGAATAAGGGATTCGGGAAAAAATTTCTAACTTTCGCTGCCAATAGGCAATACCGTCAGCCTAATTCGTTTTAACCTACTCTGTATAGTTTACAGGACGAAGAAAAAATAATTTAATTCAATTTATTTTTAGATATCAAAACTTTAATAATACTGGTTCACTATGATTGGATATGGTCGCTATTCCTTTAACATAATGTAAGTAATCTTCTGAACTTTTTGACCGGCATAAAAAGTAAAGTTGCTCAGAAACGGACTTAGCAGGTTAACGAATTACGATAATACGCCTAGGACCTAGGTATTATTAAAAACTGATATAAACACAATATTATTAATGACTTGTGAAGAGCTATATTTTGTTTATAGTTGTATACGAGTGCAATTTTGTAAAATTTTGATTATGCCTCGAGATAAAACATTAAGAAGACAAAGTAGAAAGATGGTTTACGACGTGTACAGTTATATATTAAAAGAAGCAAAGGAAGGTGTACAAAATTTGAAGCAGATACAAATGCGTACCATTGCGTACCATGCGTATCATTTCGTAATAAATATTGTTAATAATTTTAATATAACATTGCTGTAGGTACACCTTATTCTGAATGATATCGAAAATCCCTAAATAGATATTTGATATAGAAATAAATTATAGATAACTATTTCGTACACGACTGTACCTGCGCAGGATCCCCACTACTGACGCTCGGCAAGTCTCATCTTTCGCGGCGCGTATTATAACAATATATGATCCAATCATATTCAAAACCCTATAAATATTAATTATTCGTTTAGAATAAATAAACTCATATGTTTTTACTTATTTTGGTAAATTATTGTAAGGTATTTTGATGTTTTAAAACTCAGCTAGAAATTTTCATTTCGCTAGTAGATAATCTAAACATTTACTGAAAATAATGTCTACATTCATACAATAATACAATCGTAGTAACTATAACATATAGTATACACCAAAATGTATAATGTGATACAAATCTAAACTTTATTTTGTCATGAGTCGGTGCTTATTTGCAGCCATTTTACTCGAAGTTTAAGTATCTAATAATTATAATTATTGTTTAATGTAATATAATTTAAATGAATTGTACGCACCATAAATAGACCAAAAAATCAAAATTTAAAGAACGACTATTTTACAATAAAACAAAGTATAAGCCGCGCCAACAAAAAAACGAATCTAAAATGGCGTCTGGGTACTTGAAGTTTGACAGATAATGAGCTCCGCGATACTCTGTTAGCAGCAGTGTGCAAGTGATGGAACATGATCGGCGGCGCCATTTTAGATTCCTTATTGGCACGGTTTATACCTAGTAATTTCGAAAATTATGCTATAACAATTGATCTACAATCCCATCTCACATTGACATCATCCATAAACAGCCTCAAAATATAATTTCACAAATAAATTGTGGCAATATCATTCTAATAATGCCTCTTAAATTGAATTTTCTAAGTAATTAATATAATAATCGTCCATTTTCATTTACAATAAGTATAATTTTGTAAAATATAATTTTGTTACTTGTAAGTATAATATTTATAGGGCGGTGTCGGCACCGAGCAGCGAGCCCTATGACTCGGAGTACATGATGCTCTCTACCGGCGCCGAGATTGTCATGTCGTCGATTTCCGGACGGGACCAGTCCTGCAAATATAATAAACATAAATTAATTAATCTATACAGATAAATAAAATTGTAGTGTCTGTTTGTAATGTTAAAATAACAGCGTTTTAGTAAATGCATATGAAATTATATACGCACACACACATATACAAGCATTTATAATAGTCCTTTATTAGTCATAATTTTTATGCCATCGATATATAAAAACATAGATACACATTTCCTAACAAATATCTCTTAAAAAAGTGGCGTGGACATGTCACGTTAAGTCAAACCAAAAAATAAAATTTAACATTTAAAAGTTCTAATTGTCTAAATACAAAACGAACGCACACCACATAAAGTACTTTTTTTAAATGAAAAAACGTGCGTTTTAATTTTATCATTCGAAAAGCAATGAACAAAAACGATTTGAAAATAGCGCAATTCAATTTTATATTGTGCACTTCTTTTTGAGGTCACTTTTGAGACTCTAATTGTTATACGCATTCTTAGTGCCTTTGCAATATACCCCGTGAGATTCTACAGAAGCCGCTTCATGTACCGGTAAAACTTATAAGAAGCACTTTACACATGCTATCTCTAAGCTCATATCTAATAATAAGTAACATGAAAAACTATAGTAATATTTACATCATCATCTTGAGATATAAATAAAAGGAAGATAATTTTATATGAAGCTTACGATAAACTTCACCTCTATAAACTTAATATGTACGTGTGTATTGCTTTTCTACCGTTAGATACGCGCGCTACTCACGCGTTTGTATCGACACAAACGCAAGTTAAAAGTTATTATAATATTAAAGATTTTAAATAAATTTTCTCTAATTACATACTAAAATTCTCAAAAACTAACTAATTTAAAAAATTGCATTATTTTTCTGTTTACTGAAAAAGCGAAATAACAATAGACATAATTAAAATAATAATAATAGTAAAAGTCTAAAAAAGTATTAAATAATAGTAAATATAAAAATTACCTGTTCATCCGTACTCGCAAAAAATAAATAAAAGAGATTGGCGCCTAAATCTATAGCGGCAGCTAAGTAGAACACCTCCCTCCACTGCCCTAACGTTTGCTGAAATAGACACAACAAAAACACAACATGTAATAAATTATAACCTTTTGTCAAATGATCAAGAAATCATATAATTAAATCTCATACTTTATTAAATTACGTAAAAGCATATAAATAAACTAGCATCCGCACGCGACTTCACCCACATGAAAAGTATCTATACTTTTTTCTCGAAATTTTATGTGGGCGTGTGGCCGAAATCGTCTCAGATTCCTAACATAAATCTAACTACACAAGCTTCCCATTAAAAAAACACACATACACTTTCTTTCATGTCATTTATTATATATGTATTTTTCGTCTCTGTCGTGTTATTACTCTGTGGTACGAAAATCTTCTCTCGCGTCACTACTCTGTGGTATGTACATTACAGTGCTACGTATACTTGTTAGTACATCACTAATATGATGTCTCATCTAAAATTGATTTTTACTCTATGGTACACACTTGTAAAACAGATAGTGGATTTCAATACATTACACAATTCATATCAGTGGATTTTATTATTAATCCAGTTAAATCCAAGTACACACATACACAAACAAATTCATTTTCATTCATTCTCTCGTGTCACTACTCTGTGGTACGATCTGTCAAGTCACTAATCTGTGGTAATAGTCTCTTCTGTGGTGTAACAACTAACTACTCTATGGTACGAACATTTTCTATTACGACACTACTCCGTGATAATTACACAGATTTTCCCCATTTCTCTCTCTCTTTCTCTTACAAACTCTCTCCCTCTGTCTCATGCCACTACTGTCCATTGTACGAACCTGCGTGTCGCTGATGATGAGGCCGATGACGTAGGGCGCCATGAAGCCGCAAATGTTGCTCGCTGCATTAGTGATACCATACATAGTGCCCGCAAACTGCGGCGACAGGTCGATGTGGTTCATTTGGTTGCCTGTGGAATAATTGTTTAAGTATATTAATAAATATAATGTATGTATGAATGTACAAATAAAAAATGTTGCGGGATCAGTGAAACTTCGATTGTTTTATAAAAGTTTTGCAGTAGATATATAAAAAAAGATATTAAAAATTTCGTTAAGAGTTCAAATATGCATTAGTTATACTATTTAATTAGCATACATAGGACAATCTCATTAATTAATGAATAAAATACGAACTTTTCAATATTAAATTTATTTTAGAAGATATTAGATTAAAAACTAATTTACGTAATAACAAAAAAAATAAAAAAAAGTAACAAATTACTTCATTATAATATCAATTATATTGTATGTTACCACAAACTTTATTCGAAAAAAAAAAACAAATACTACATTATCACCTCCAGGTAAATTTCTAAGAAATCTATTATTAACTGTAACGCCAACGTGCCCGCGGTCGTAGAAGGAATAATCTCTAATATAAACAAAACATTTCAAAGTGTTACAAAAAAAATTATAAGCAATTCAAAACCCATCACCCTTTCCGTTCAATTTTCTTGCTAACAGCTTCAAAGCGTGCCAGTTGAGCAAAGATTAATTCGCCAATGTCACGTAGACCATCACGCTTTACAAATATTAATAAAACTCAAATCAATCATCGATCAAAAATGTACTAGATACACAATCAGCGACAAAAAATGTCCTCACCGAATGAGAGCTCATTTGAACATTTGAGCGCGCTCTTAATTTAATTTTTTTAAACAACTTTAAGCATTGCATTTAAAGTTCAATTTACATTGTTATATATTTATTTCAACTGGAATAATTACCTAAACACAATTGCTGACAGTTTTAGATTTTTTGCAGCATGGGATTGTGTATCCAGTACTTTTTTGATCGATGATACCAATTGATAATATGAATGAGGACGTACGCACCCGCGTAAGTGGCGCCGCCGAAGGCCGACGTGATGCTGAGCAGCAACATGACGGCCACGCTGTCGCAGCCCGCCCACGCGATGCCCAACAGACCGAACGCCGGGACGAACGCCGCTGTGATCAAATTATATAATTATAGTACGGTGCAATTAGACCCAAACCTCAACATCCAAAGTAAAAGTTTCCCTCCAGCTCCAAATTGTTCTATACAGTCCACATGTTGTTTGGTAAAAAGTTATACCATTTTCAGCGTCGGGATTGGGGGTTCGGGTATTCATCAGTTTTTGCTAGTGGCAGGTTTAGTTAGTGCTAGTTTCAAATTATTTATATGGTCATATTTATTTAGTCCCTTGGAAGCTTCATTTTTTTTAGTTAGCTGTATAGAATATATCCGATCTGAACATCTCATGTAGTATGTCATCAGACTCACTGTTTTGTTAAGAAATAAAGTGTAAGCAATTACCGACGGTGTTCCAAAGTTTCATGCTATTAAGCCTCGAGATCCATCCTTTGACTAGCAACCAGTCTGCGAAGATACTGATCAAGATACCCGCCACCCACGCCGTGAGATACGGTAACGCAGACAACCTTGCATTCTGAAACAATTTATAAACACCTTTTTATTTACTAACGTTTTTTACAAAAACAAAAAAAACCGACTTTTTAAAAAAAGACTTTATGTAAATCCATACAGTAAGCGACTTTAATTTCAACAGAAATGCCATCAAATGCTACTAGACCAATGTTTCGAAGTTAAAGCTTACAGTGCCATCTTATGACAAGGAACAGTTCCTATCTGTTTAAAGCATTTTCCCGACTGTAGTATAAAAAATGTATGATAGTCACTCGGGAGCACCTCACCCGCGTCTCCGTGTAAATGTCACCGTTACACGACTGGGTTCAAATTCAAAATATTTTATTCAGCATTAAATTATTACAAATTTTTACTGAACATCATTAGTCTACCACCAGTTCGGAAAAAAGTTACATCAGAACAGAAGAACTGGCGAAAGAAACTCAGCGGGACTAAAATTTATATTTCTTTATATTTTTGGTAAATTAATTATAATTTACATTAATTTTATAAAGTTGCACGTCATCTTCTATAAAATCATTAATTAAAACAAATAACCTTTAGCACAAAAACGTTCTTTAACTTTTTTTTAATTTCGTGTTTACTTAGTATGAATTAGTAGACTGTGAAGTGTGAGATAAACTATAATGCAGTCAAAATTCGGAGGCATACAAGTGCACTCTCTATTCCTGTTACTCACTCCCGTGGTAGAGACTAGGCACAGAATCCTATTTCTCAACTTAGGGATTTTTTTTACTGAGAATTTCGTGGCAGAAAAATTTAATAACCATTTTAAGGTAATTGTATGTTTTTTCATTATTTCTCTCTTCTTCAATAAAAACATTTTGCATGAAAATCAAAAAATAACATGTATAATCATTTATATTAGCGAAATACTTACAGAAACGATGTCAAAGTGCAATATATTATTCATATATGTAGGTAACTCAGTCAGTTGCGTGTAGAAAAGCCATGACTGTCCGCATTGTGCGATGAGAATAGCCCAAAGTGGGAGGCAAGTTAGGAATTTACACCACGGTATCGACTTAGGTTCTTCATCCTCCTGTAAATATTAAAACTTTCGTTATACAATATAATTGAAATATTTTGTTGGTTTTATGTACTGTTTTCAAGTATCGAACCGTGGTATTTACTAACTTATTTTTATCAATATTGGCGATTAAAATGTATTGTACCGTCTTTCTACTTCTCCCATCTGCTTACCGAATAAAAGTATATAGGTATACCATAAATAAATAAAATATTATAACAGACGGCGTCATATTATGTATCGATTTGTTTTAATAATCATCTAAAATTGAAAATACGAAAAAAATTGGATGAGAAAAATGTTTATCCTAATTACAAATAAATACTTAGAATAAGGGAAAATGATAAATATATAATATTTTAAAAATTTCATGAAATTCTATAATATTCTTGTATTTCTGGCGGCGCGGCGGTCCTATGTTGTGATCGCACGATCTTTCTAAATGACTGTATGACTATGTAGTCTGTTCATAGATGGCGCTCAAAAATAAAGAAGATCGATTTTTGTTTATGCATTTTGCTACTTTGTAGACATTCACATTTTTATATAATAAAAACTTTTTACAATAAACAAGTTGTGAAATGTAATAATATTTTTTTTATTTTTGTACTTGCGTACAAAATATTTTTGTGTTTTTAAATATGTATTATAATTGTTATCTGATTATATCTGTGTGCTATTTTGTTATGATCATTTTTATCTTCAAAAACAGTTAATTCAGATAAAACATACAACTTTGTTGTTTAGAAGGAAAATTAAGAAAAACTATAATAATTAATATTCATTAGTTGTATACAGGGGCACTTAATCCTCGGTCGTATATAGTTTTTATTATTATCTATATATAAAAATCAAATGCTGTTCATTAGCCTCGCTAAAAATCAAAAATCGCTGGACTCATTTGAGGTTCAAGTAGTAAAAAAATAGGGAAAACCCATAAGAACAGCAGGAAAATCGAAAAGTTCAATAGTGTTTATTTTGTATGGGAATCACTACTTCGGATTATTTTCAATAGTGGCGGGCCTACCAACCTCAACAATACGTCAAGTTTAAGTTGAAGAAAAATAATATACCTACATACATATATAATATAATGTTAATCTATTCCATACTAACCGTTAAAATGTACCTAGGGACAAACCTGAGCGAAGCGAGGATGAGTCGCTAATTGTAAGATAATGCTTAATTTATAACAGAATTTACAAAACATTTTTTTCTCGAATCATAATGATAATAAATGGATATCGAAATTAAAACGCTCAAACAATCGATTGGTTTCCTACATATATAATTAAACACGAAATATTTTACCATTTATATTACAATACTAAACGAAACGATTATAATCAAAAATAGAAAATAAATCATTACGTAACAATTATACTAATAAAGACACGTTAAACACCGTGGGACTTTGAGAAATAGGTAAGATTTCTTTTAATGGGAGAATTTAATGGTATTGTTAGAGCTCCGTGTTCTACAAACCAGCATATAGAGTGGAGGTCATCTTTAGCGGTTATGGACCAAATAGAAATACATACAGACAAAACGACAATCTGTAGTCATGCACTAATAAAATATTCCAAAAATTAAATATAAAATGCATATATAAATATAACCACCTGGTATTCTTAATGAAAAACAATATTTTACTAAAGAGATAAAACCAACGACCTCAAAACATTGGCCAATGAATATGCGTGAGTCATTGCGCCCCACATTTACGATAAAACTACATGAATCAATGAACCAATATGAAATTAAAATCCTGCTAAACCAAGACTATAATATAAGTATTGATAGAATTTACATTAAAATTCAAAATATTCCATGGTTTCGGAACAAATAATGAATGTAAAATGTTTAGTTACTTACATTTATGATTTACATACTCATTTACGCATTTATATATTACGTTTTAAAGTTTAGTATAAATTTTTCAGAGATGAAATATTTTCCCGCAGTAAAAAGTATGCTATATATGCCCGGATAACCAGCTATCGTCATACCAAATTTCATCAAAATCTGTTCAGTGGTTTTCGCGTGATGCGTTTCCAGACACAGACAAAAATTCTAAAAACTATAAATTCGGCCTCTGCATCGATAATAATAACCATTTCAATAAGATTTTCCAAAAAATATTTAATGCCCAGATTCGACTCAGTTAGAATTTTATTATATGTATAGACTAGTGACTTGCCCTTGCTTTGGTCGGGTGCGTCCCTAGGTACGTTTTAATTTTTTAAGACGGAATCCTAATTCGTTTTCTAAAATAAAATATAAAAGTAGCCTAAGTTACTCCTTAAAACTTCAGCTATCTGCCATTGAAAGTCCCGTCACAATCGGTCCATTCGTTTCGAAGATTAGACGGAACAAACAGACAGACATAAACTTAAAAAAATGTGTTTTTCTTATAAGTACCATATATAATTTCATATGCATTTATTTAGTAAAAATCTGTTATTTTGACATTAAAAACAGACACTTCAATTTTATTTATTCAATTCAATTCTTTTATTTCGTTGCTTCTAGGAACATTTTATTTATTTATTTGTATATATATATCAATTAAAAGAGCATGTAGCTACTATTACTATTATTAACTAGACAGAAACAATATTCAGTTTATTTACCTGAATTCCAATAGACTGTGTAATAAATTCTATCTCTTTGGGGCATATTCTGGGGTGTTTCTGTGGTGAATCGTAAACAAGGAACATCCAAGCTATAAACCATACAACTCCGAGACCACCAAATAGATAAAAGCATAAGGGCCACCCACCCCCAAATTCTAGTGTACATAACCACCCTGATATAGGCAGAGAAATCACTGTACCTATGTTGGAACCTAGAAGAAACAGAATTAATAACAAATTTGTAAATTTTGGTATTATATCAAATGATTGATATAGTGCACAGATGTTTTTATTTATAATTTTAACTAGCCACTCACCGTCACTTCGCTCGGGTTCGTCACTAGGTATATATTAATGGTTGGTATGAAATAAAAATCTTTGAATTTCTCGGCTTTTCTGTACTATAATATGCATGTATTATACATATAAACCTTTCACTTGAATCACTCTATCTAATAATAAAAACCGCATCAAAAGTCGTTGCGTAGTTTTATAGATCTAAGCCTACATAGGTACAGACAGACAGCGGAAAGCAACTTTATTTTATACTATATAGTGATATAAAGAATTTTAATTTAAAATGTTATACCAACCTTAAAACCACCTTCGAGTAAGATATCAGGCGAAAAATACATACATTAAGAATTATGAGCCTCCTCATTTATTGAAAAAAACCCATATTCACATTCACTTTTTAAATTAGCAAGTAAAGTTACCATAATTCATTATTTTTTATTTTTATCTCATAAAATAAAAGTGCCTACATACTATTTACAATTAATTAATTAAATATTAACTGTTATTATCAAACCATATGTCATGAAATGATAATAAAATGCAATTTGTCATATTATTGTGTATGCCATAATTTATTTCAAATTATAACTGTTTCAACTTATAGATTGCTTTGTTGTTATAATAATATGTACATATTATTTCATATCATCTTTAAAATTATGTACCATATAATGAATAATTTGAAAGTACAAATTGAAATGTATTGACTTACCAGCATAAACATATGCAGCAAATTTTGATCTTTCCATAGGTGGGATCCATCTTGCTAACATAGCATGCATAGCAGGATAGGTTACTCCCTCTCCTAGCCCTTCTAAGACTCTTACTACAATGAAGAATTTAAAATCCACAAAAGCTGCAATAGGGCTAAGTATTGTGAATATTGCCGTTAATAATACACCAACTCCATACACTAGTTTACCACCAAAGATTTCAGCAATTCTTCCACCTGGTATCTAAAACAAGTAACAGCACCATTTTTAAACAAAAAATCTATTTTTTCTCTCTAAACTTATTTTATTAATCTGTAATTAACAAATGTAACTGCAGGAGTAGTAGCTGTAGGAAAAATAATTACATGCACTCTTTAAAAGTACTGTTAAAAAAGTAAATAGGCAAAATAAATAAAAAAAACTTAAAATAATGTGTTGATTAGATAGAAACAAATATTTTAAAATATTTAACAAGAGATTACTCTAAGCATGAATAATTTATTTAACTAGGAAGCTGGCATCGACTCAAGGTTTAACACTTTTTATATTTTACAATGGTAAATTGAGCATTACAATTGTAGGAAGATATTAATGTGAACAAAAAGATTGTTGAGTTTGGTATTTTAGACTCATGTAAATAGTGTAAAATATACCTGAGTTAAAACATAACCATAAAAGAAGGATCCTAGAATAATACTTTGTTGTTCTGCTGTCCAGTTAAAGTCTCCTGGCCTCTGAAATATAATAGAATCTTTTATATGTACCTGTTAATATTTTATAGGAAAATTTATTCAAAAATATTCTTTGTCAATAATAAACATGAAAATAATAACTTAATACCAGAATATGTATTTTGCTTTTGTATAAAAAACTCTTTTGACACTACATTTTTAATATTATTATCTATGATATATCTATGATATACTTATAGTATCTGTGATATACTTACAATTGGAACAGAGTTATTACTAGATGGAGATACTGGACAAACATCTAATGTGGAATCATTAGATGGTACTGGTGCGGTTGAGTTTATCATAGCAACTATTGCCACAGACAGGTTTACACGCATAGCATAAACATTAGCGAAACCAAGGAAGCCCATGATACCAAGCACTGTTCGACTTTTGATCCATCCTGTTGTTTCCTCAACTAGATATTTAAAAAAGTAATAACATTAAATACTTCTTAATTGATTAGTAAGAAATTTATTAAATTTCAATTCCTTCCATTTACTTATTGATGAAAATAAACAACAGATTTCTAATAGCATAAAACTGAAACAATATTTTATTAAGGTTTTTTATGTTTGTAAATTTGTCTACCTCTCACAGTTTCGACCAGACTCCGGTGGCTACTCGTGACATCATTTTCTATGTCAGCATTTATCATAGAACTCTCTTCCACTGGTATTGACATGTTTAAACTTTATAGTAGCACCATGCCCCGATATTTTAGATAATGACAATACACTTTACTTTTAAACTTAATATCCTTAACGGTAACAAATTAGACTTTTCTTAATATTTTATAGCTACGAAATTATCATATATGTGACTCATCTAAACAATTTTATAATAGGGTTTAAACAAAGAAAAACATCGCTCATAAATTGTCAACCATCAAATTCAATATGTCAAATGTCAACGTCAAAGTCATATTGAACTTTTGAAGGGATAATCAAAAGTTTACGTTTCTAGAAACAGTTATAGGGAAACTTATTTTTTGGCTGGCCATAAAATAAATAAAATATACACCGAGGAATTCTAACTGTGTTAAAAAAGCTTAAAACCTCCAGGTAAATTTCTCCGATATTAATTAAATTTCTAAGAAATCTATTATTACATTATCATTTATAACGCGGGCGTGTCCACAGTCGCGGAGGGATTAAACATTTAAAATCAATATAAATGTAAAAAATGAAATGAAATGAAAAAATGAAATGGTATATTTTAAATGTGAATTTTCTGTAAGTAGCAGTTTTAGAGCTATTTTTGAAAGTGACATCTCGTCAACGTGCGCCGACAAGCAAAAATTAACGACCAACCGCGCAAATCACCTGCCGTGCGGCCACCGTGTAACCTAGCAAGTAGCCAGAGCGAAAGCCACAAGGCTCTAGGCGCTAAGCCAACCAACCGCCTGTCTGTGCGGACGTAGCCCTATGGTGAAAAAATATTTTATTGTAGTAAAATAGGGAAGATTTCTCGGAAGGGGGGCGCCACACGTATGGCCTACTTACATTGTCTCGGGAAAGAAGCTTTTACTCCCCCTAAATGTCGCGATCACTACGATCCTCAATACTCGCGCGTTTTAAGGCGAATCTAATGATATAATATGAATCATCAAAATGCAGTTTAATGATTATACGAGTACAGATTCCGAAGACTACTAATTACGAGGGAACATAGGATTGGACAAACATTTGTACATACTACATAATATATGTATTCATACATACAGATCAACCACAATACCCGTTTTCCATCGGTCTTGCCGCAGTTGGATAATAAAGTGTTTCATAATTGTAGGAATATGGGTATCACATCAATAGATGATTAATTAAAATAGTTACATCAAAAATATATTTATTTATTCTTCAGTAGGTATAACCTTTTTACTCGACTGCGAGACTCAAAGTAGGGTAATGTGTTTATCAGTCTCTTTGCATGTTTGTTCCAATATGGCATTCTAGAGGGCAAACGCATAGGCCGATCTTGATTAATCATATTTCGTTAGATTCGTCTTGATAACGCAAGTGTTCATAAGCTACTTATATAAAAATAGTTAAAAATTACAATGGCGAATTTCAGGCACTAATTTGTCTTAAAAATTTTTTCTTCTAAACCAGTCGAGTGGGTTATCAAAATAAAGGTTTTTAAGAGGCGATCACAAAAATATGTACATATAACAACTTATATGTTTAAAAGTAGGTACTTAATTTAGAATAAAAAATTGCCAAATATAACTTCAAATGTCTAATTGGCAAAAACTAAAAAGCAGTAAACAAAAAAATATATTATAAAAATAAAAAGCCCGATTGTATAAATGCTAACTAAAAAGATAAAAACAAGTCGACGAAGGATTAAAGTATTATGCAGTCGGAGACTTATACGCGTTTCATCCTTGCCGCAAGATGTATGTACATATTATCACATAATATGTGCATATCTTGTATTGTTAAAGTAATACAATAATAAAATTGTAACCCAGCCGAATCTGTACATTAGATATTTTTCGGAAAATCTTATTGAAATAGACTTTATTATCGATACAGCGACCGAATCTATAGTTTTTAGAATTTTTGTCTGTCTGTCTGTTACCGCATCATAGAAAAACCACTAGAGGGATTTTGATGAAATTAGGTATAGTGATAGCTGGTTACTTTTTACTGCGGTGAAATGTCTCATTTCTGAGAAAAAAAATACAAAAACTGCAATGTAAGAGTATACTCATATCATGTAAAACCTAAGAATTTGGTTTTTGGTCATCTGAACGGGGGCGGAGCCGCTGGCAATGCTAGTTATTTCATTAAATTGGTTTACCTACAAAAGCAAAGATATCGCGTAAATGCATGCAACTGAATTATATAACCCTATTGAAGTTAATTCATTAGTATTCAGTAATTTATATACAAAAAATCAAGGGCAATGGATTTTTCTTAACGGCAATGTTGAATTATAAACACATTTATGTTATGAATTTAATACATTTTATTTATATTTCAATATGAAAAGTTGTGTAACTTATTATCACCACTTAACCTAATCTTTAACATGTGTGATCTGCATGGTAGCAGCATTAAAAATATACAACAATTTGAATGAGGCAATATCAAATTGCCCTTTTAACCAGCAGATATTTATTATCATGTTTATTAACCTTTTAGGTACTTACTACTTAGGTAGCCAATACAGTAGTAGTAATATTAGATTAATTGATTCTACTTACTGCATAATATTAGGTATATTTTAGTAGGAAGATCAAAATAAAAACAATAAATTCTTAAGTACATTTTTATATAAAGAATTATAAATATTTTTTAATATTAGTAGGTACTGTACCTCCTAAATAAGTGATGAAAAGATCAAATTAAAATTTATGTTATAATATAAAAATAACGTATTAGCTGCATAGGTACATACAAAATACTAAAAGTTTTTAATTATGGTAGGCATCAGCAGTCCCATAATTATTGTAGAAAGGAGATTCACACTATGATTATCCAATATATTTCTTCCACTTATGTGCTTTACACTAATATTCGAATGTGACACTATTTTACCATCCTTGTCCAAACCTGAAATAAATAAATAAATTAAAATTTATTAGCAAACAAGAAAGATCATCATAGGGTATACCTGCCAATTTTACTGTATAAATAAAGGCAGAAGACAATCAAATATTTGTAGCAAACAATATAGGTGACAAGTACCATGCTTTGGTACCTACCTAGTTTTACTGCACAGTCAAAACTGCATGGGTATAACCTAGTGTGGCTATTGGCTAACTTAAGTGACACTGTTGATAAGTCTACTTACCAGAGTACTGCAAAGTTGCACCCAATAGAGAGTCTATAAGGCTCCCAATAAATCCTCCAAGCCCTCCATATAAAATAATGGGCCATTGTGGAGGGGCATACATAAATAAGTTTCTATCAGAAAAGTATATGATTGTCAAATAGTGCGAAAATCCAATAAGAAGACCTCCAACAGTACTACATATTGTCCCCACAAGGCTTACTCCTCCATTTGTTCCTTTTGGCACTCGCTTCCATGATGTAACAAGAAATGGATCAGAATTACTTAAAACAGTTCCTAATTCAGAGGCCCATGTGTCACCATTACAGCATGCAAAAACACCTAAAACAGTAACAGCAAAGGTTACATGGTTCTACAGTTGAATACCTTACCTCACACATAGAAATCCCTAAATAACAAGACCAATTAGTGGTTTTTTGGCCTATTTTGTTTTTAACTGAAACCAGAGTAATTTCAAAATGATAAAAAAATTAAAATAGTTTTTATTTTGTTTCTCAGTTGTTTTGTTGGTGTAATATGATTTTTATTGTATTTAATTTAGGGAAGCAGTGGTATAAAATTAGTTGTATTACTAGCAGCCCTGTTGCTCCTGTTGTCCGGCAATAGTAAGGCACCAGGATTAGGTGGACAAAAATTTGAAGTAGGTTTTTCCATGATAAGAATTCATAGAAAAAGTTTAAAATTGAATAATATATTGATTTTTCTTATTATCTTATTATATATATATATATATATATATATATATATATATATATATATATATATATATATATATATATATATATATATATATATATATATATATATATATATATATATATATATATATATCTTATTTATAGGCTGTTTTAATAGGCATTAGTCATTACAGAATTTTATAGAGCTAAAAATTATTGATAATAATATAATCCTTACTTAAAACTCCTATGCTGAGCCAAGATGACCTGTAATTCTTTTCAAAATCTATTGGTTTTTCAGAAGCACCAACATCTAATAAGTACAAAAGGGCTAGTTGAGCAGCCATTCCTCCATTACAAAGTACTTGAACCCAATTTCTTTGACCACCTGTGGATATTTTTTGTATAACAAATATGTGCTTTAAAAGATACAATGGAATTTCAAGAGGTCCTTGTGCAATAGTTTTGAAGTAAGCAATTAAAAACAAAAGCACTTTTGGCGAAAAGGTGGTTTTTGTTCTACTACTAATGTTTTTGGTTAAAAAAATGTTTTAAGGATTACCATACTTGTTCAAGAAAACAAAAAATAATATACCTTCCTTGAAATCTTCTTCAATTTTTCTTTTTAAATGAGGTCTGTACTTAGTTGCTTTGGAAGAGGTAAAAAAAAACACTAATAAGTCAGCTAAAAAGCAATAATTGGACAAAGTTAATATAAATGTTAATACTATTCCGAGCAAAGCTCCACTGATGTTAACACTTTTCTTTCTATATCCATATATTGCTAATGGTAATGGTATTAAACATGAAGCCAACCATCTTGCGGGTGAAATTAATATCGTTTCTAAAAAATAAATAAAAACATCACAATGATATTTATAGCATATTAAGTTTATATTTATAGCATATTTCATATTTACTAATTAGCTTTCTTAGAAATACATACCTAGCTCGTCAGTATTATTAATCAATTTAGAATAAATTAAATTTATGATCCACATAGACATTGATAACGGTATAGCAATTGTGATCAAAAGTAAGGTAAATAAATGATTATTTCGATTTCCTATGTTTTCGTTCGCCAAGTTTTCTTTATTTTTAGACATTTTTGAAAATGCTAACTTCTTATGTAAGTTATCTATTAAAGTAAAATCAATTTGAAATTTAATTCACGTTTAAAAAAAAAATTATTTACTTCTATGAATAAAAAATAACTTCGTATAAGTCTTTGCCTTTAATGTGTTTTGTAGTGCCAGAGTATAACAGATTCAAATATAAGATTTCTTTTTACTTATTATTTTATTATTGTAAATTTAAAATTTTGAAAATTAATACACAACAACTTTTTTTGCACTGAAGTCTAAACTGAACAGTAAACTGTCAGTGTCACCGGCATTGACAAATGAAATGACATTGAACTGAAATAGAGTTGTCTGCTGCACATAATCATAAAGACGCAGAATATAAAATCGATTTTCAAAACTGTGAAGTTTATTATCGAACTGTGAAGTTTATCATCGAAATTTATTAATTACTAGCGACTCAGCCTCGCTTCGTTCATTTTCACCCCCTTAAGGGATAATTTCCATAAAAAAGTATCCTATGTCTTTCCCAGGGTCTCAAACTATCTTCTTACCAAATTAGATCCAGAGATTACCCCCTACAACGTCACAAACTCATAAACTTTACCCCTTTATAATATTAATATAGATAGATTGACGTATAGTATTAGTAATTAGTATTGTATATGAAAAAAAAACATCTTGTAGAAATATCACTCAATAGATTAAGACACGGTCGCGGTTCCATACCTACGAATATGTTGTATTATCTCTTCAACAATTTGTCCAAATTATATGTAGTAAAAGGGAAAAGTCTTTTGTTTCAAGCATTTTAGACGACAAATTCACTTATTTTGATAAGAATTCAGAATTGTGTCTTGTTGTGACTTAAATATAAAAGTTAGACATGTGCTATCGCTGACTTTTTTGTAGGCATTATTAAGCTCTTCAACTTTTCTCTAGAATATAATCATATATTTCTCATTGTTAAGGCAGCGTTCGTAAGAAACTTTTTCGTTCGACCGTTTTTTCTCCGACTAACTTTGCAAATCCGACCGATCCTTGAAAAAGTCTTTTCATTCTTTGGGTTAATATGTAGCCTATGACACTCAGAAAGAACATGGCTTTCTATTGATAAAAGAACTTTGAAAATCGGTTCAGTAGATCTAGAGATTACCCCCTACAACATCACAAACTCACAATATCACAAACTTTACCTTTTTATAATATTAGTATAGAAAAAAAAAACAGTGCGTGTAACCTTTACGTGCCGTTAAAGTAAAACTTCTTTGGTGCTGTGGCAGATACTGCATTTAAATAAATTGCAGTTAAATAAAAAACAAACACATCAAAATATAAGTAACTCTGTCTGTCTGTTACCTTTTCACGCTTTATCCATAGAACTATAGATAAAGCGTGAAAAGGTAACAGACAGACAGACAACTATAGATTGAGATCCTGGGAAGGACAAAGGATAGTTTTTACCCTGAAAATCATCCCTCAAGGGTGATAAGGGGGGTGGAACTTTGAATAGGGAATCAATTATTTCTCAAGGAAGGGATATAAAACTCAACATACCTATGTATATATGCATATATTAAATCGTCTACAAGTGAATATTTTTTTATTTTATGTACTTTTTTACACATTAGTTACAGAGTTTCATAGAAACTTTTATCCTCCATTTTACCCCTTTATGAGTTAGAATTTTTGAAAATATATATTTATTTAATTGTATTGAAGAGCATTAATACAAAGTTTCAAGTAATTCTGATCATAAATAATACTTTGCCTATACATATAAACTTTATTACTTCCTCTAACCACTTTAAGGGATGAATTTAGAAAAAATAATAAATAAATGTATTTTTTATCTTAAAGCTAAACACCACTTTTTGTGTATTTCAAATTAATAATGACAGGGTTTAGCATCTTTAATACCTTATTTTACCCATTTAGGGAATGACGTCATCCAAATTTCACGTTTCTACGACCGGCGATTTAGGCTGTGTGTTGATCCATCTGACAGTCACAACTATCGCAGGATACACCTGTTAGTTTAGTTCAGTTCTTTACTTTAATGACTTTAATGATGCACCTGTCCTTCTCAATTTTTCCGTCAGCTGGTCTAACTTCCATGTACAATACATTGCACAGGTAATATGCGAACACAATAGAAGCAAAAATGCCAGCTACAAAAGAGATATCATAATGAATTTCTTCACCTCAGACTGAATGTAAATAGGCCATACGTGTGGCGCCTTCCTTTCGAGGAATCTTCCCCTTAAAATTAAAAATTGACTCGAAAGAAATCGATTATTGACAAGTGGTTGTTTATGAGTACATCCCTACTTTCTTTTCCATTTGACATCTATGCATATGTTTGCTTTTTAACGCAAATGGCAAATGCAAATATTATACAATCTGTGGTACTGTGGATTCGTTTTCGTTTAGATTTGTTCGTGAATAAAGGTTTCCTTGGTTTTAGATTAGGGTTTATGATTTATAGTTTAGAATATGAACATTTTTTCTTAAATAATAATATAGTTGAATAATCGTAATACGTAAAGATGAAGCCTTTAATAGATTTTGATGAGTGCCTCAGAGATTCCCCAAAATTTAGGTGGGCTAATGAAAGTTTTGTATTGATGGAAAGTGAAATTTCGTACGTGTTATGTTTATTAATTAATCAAAGAACGAATAATTTATACCTTTAGGGAACAGCTGGAGACTGAGGAAGCTAGCATCGAAGCTTTAGAACAAAAGCTTGACAAAGTTCTTAAGTCTTGTTCTGTTATGATCGAGTCGGGTAAAATTTATATGACTCAAAGAAGGTAAGTTTTCGTTTAAGTTCTACTTTTTTTCTATATTTTTACATTAATTTGTTATAAGAAAAATTAAAATTAACTCTTCTTTGTTATATTGTTTGATAGCTAATACTGATTTGTATGAATAAATGTAGTTTCAAAATATATTAATTATAGAATTAATAAAGATTGCTTACATTATTCTACAGCACATTCACAAATGCACTGTGGGACTTGACAAGCAGTTTCTCAGAAGATGCAACTGTCCAATCAGCTTTGAACCGCATGATCCATGCTTTACAAGAAATGACTAAGTTTCATTCCATACTACTGGATCAGGCTTCTAGGACTGTACTAAAGAATCTCTCTGCATTTATTAAAGTGTATGTTTTTTTAAATTCTGCTAATGATGTATTGTTTCCTTTTTTATCTAAGCACCTTGAATATTATATTATGTAAAAATTGTTTATTTTGAATAAGTTTTTATTGATCCTCTATAAAAAATGTAATGGTTTAAAGATCAAATATGCTTAATTTTAGATTTATGAACAGCACAAGACTACTTGTTTGTATAAAAGTTCATTCACTAGACTAATAAAATTGTGCTTTATTTAAAAATAACATTGTATACTCATTAAGCTTTCATTAAAACATTATAAAAATTTTATGATTGGAAATAATATTGTTTTGTAATATTCTCTTTATCAACACTTGACTCTGGTCTAAAGTAAAACACTGACTCATGACATGCACTGATATTGTTTGAGTATAAATGTGTTTCCTTTTTGTATATATTATAATAATTTTTTTTATTACAGAGATATCAAGGGTGTGAAAGAAAGCAAACATCACTTTGATAAAATCTCCAATGATCTTGATATAGCTTTAAATAGAAATTCGCAGGTGAATTTAAATATTATATTTAATTGAAAATAATGCTTCACTAATTTAAAATGTGTTAAATAGCATGTATCTAATATTGATAAATATAAATTTGTATTGACAGCTAGTAAATATGAGGTACTAGACATAATTGTTACATTTCTTTTTTTTAATCAGGTATCGCGTCATAAACCTATGGATGTTGAGGAGGTTGTGAATCTCTTGTTGGCGACGCGTTCCTGTTTCCGACATACTGCCTTAGACCATGTTCAGAAAATTACTATGCTTCAAGTCAGACGCCGACATGAAATACTTGCAACAGTAAGTTTCTTTGTTGTATTTGGTCTAAAATGAATATTGATGTCTATGTAATAATCAAAAAATAATTTCAATTTAATAAAAAAAACACCATTAAATATTTTAAATAAAACTATTTTCGGATTTATTTTGATTTTTGTTGCTGAATAGAATCTGAAAAATAGGTTTTATTTAAAATATCAAATATCGTAAATATAAGAAAATAGAAATACCATTAAAAATATTATTAAAGTGCTTCTAAGTTCCACTGCTATTGGTAATTTAAAATAGCAAATATTTAACATTTGGACTATAAGTCATTTCTTCTCTAGTGTTTGTACAAAACATGTCATAAATTACGTAATATTTAAATTTTTACTGGAAGTCTGTGAGAGTTTGTGGCTTAAAAGTATTTTTAAGTCTAATATATTATGTTACTAAATCGAACTACTAATATAAACGCTGAAGTTTCTATGTGTATTTATGTTTGTATTATATTGCTTCATTCGCTGAAACCCCTAGACTTTAGAGACTAGACAGATTGTGATGAAATTTAGTAAGTACACAGATAGACATTCTACACTCTTCTACAATCTAGCAATAAAAAAAAGACATCTACTAGTCTTAACGAGGTTTCGTGTTATACCTAAATAAGTAGCCTTGATAGACCTAAAAATTGCGAGTCTTCTAAAAAAGATTTCTCATTTCGCGTGTATGTTACGCGATGTCTCCATAAGACTTATTTTAATAAATAATTTGTACTTCAAGGTCGGCCTCATAAAAAATAAATGCTTCTAAAAGTTCTATACTAGTAACACAGTTTATTTGTTGGAACGCGCTAATCTTAGGAATTACTAATCCGATTTAATTATTTTATTTTGCATATGATAGCCCTTTTATTGAGGAAGATTATAATAGGCTATATGTCATAAATAATTAATATATAGTCTGTCTATTCAATACTAACCGTTAAAACGTACCTATTATAATATATTTTTAGTAAATTCTTTGTTGTGGATCGTTAAGTATAAACGTATTTTTGATTTATGTAATTCTTAAGAAAGCTGGGACGTCAGCCGGAACTTCTGCATAGAATTCAATGTTACACAAAATTTTATATCAGTGTCTTAGTCTTTTATAATAGAATAAACTAATGCGATTACCCAATAATAACGTATTACTGAAACTTGAGCTACATCGAACGCAAACTTAATTAACTGTATTTGCAGATATTAACTAATCTGTTTTTATCTTTTTATATAGAATACTAATCTTGTAATACATCCATAGCTAAACTATATGGAACATATTTATGACGATTTACCGTCGTTTCGCTCGCGAGCCCTAGAGACGCAAGCGAGGATTAGTCACTCGTATGTTTTAATTTTTTTTGAGCGGAATCCTTATCCTTTTCTAAAATAAAAATAGCCTACGTTACTTCTTATAACATTAACTATCTGCAAGTGAAAGTCCCGTCAAAATCAGTCCAGCCGTTTTGGAGATTAGCCGAAACAAACAGACAGACAAACATTTTAAAAGTTGTGTTTTTTTTTGTAATTAATTTATAAGTATAATTTCTTATGCATTTAGTAAGAAGCTGTTATTTTGACATTACAAACGAACACTTCAATATTATTTATTTGTATAAATTAAGTAAAAGTTCAACTCTTTTAAAGCTAAGTTGACAAAATCTTTCACATTATTCAGAATATATTTACTTTACTTATCCCACAATTAAAACATGAAATAAAAATACGCATCATTTTATACACACAAGGAAATAAAAATAATTAAGTCCATAAATACACGATACAGGTGTATGTTACGCAAATCATAGTATGAATTAGACGGAAACGCGTGACTCAGCGGCACAACAATGAATATAATTGGCTACGCAACTATCTCACTCTGTGAATTCCATATTCGAATTATGTTTTGTTTTTTTATTTAGTGTTCTGTTTTGATACCTAAATTATAAAAACATGTATCGAGAAAAGCAAAGACTGTTTGTTCGACGTTTATTGGAAGATATTAATTTAATTTTGAAAAGTAATATAATTTTTTATGCACGATTTGTTTATGTGCTTGCATACTTTTTTGTTACTAATAAAAAAAGCTATAAAAATATACTTTTAAATGAAAGATGTTATCGTACTATTTAAAGACCAAATATTTAAGATGACGGATCTAGAACTTTAATCACTCCATCCACTTAGTTTTAAAGGCAATATTAAAATGTTCTATATCGCATGCTACGATACATTATGATTATGTGTTTACAGTCCCTCATCCTTTTTGTTTCTATCAACTAGTGAAATACGTTTTGTAATTATTTAGTTACACAATATTGATTCTTAGTACATACTTGATATATAAAAATTAATCTCTCTCTGACTCATTATGATCAGTTTCCAATTTGGGTCCGTTACTAAGAATTTTTAATAGAAAAATCCAGTAACTTTTTTTATCCCAAACTGGAATTTGAACTAAGGATCTCCGGATCTACAGCCGTACCTGCTGAGTACTAGACCAACAATGCAGCTAAGAAGCTTGGTATAAAGCCCACCTCTTGAATGCCTGGACAATTTTTTTTTAAATGTAATATTGTATTGCCTCTAAAAGTTCTAAAAACATGTTCAATCAATATACGAGAATATATTACTTCATATAATTTGTTATCGTTTAGTACATCATAATCATAAAAGAAATCGTGATCAATGTTGTTCAATGATCGTGCTATGTTGGCGATATTATTTTGCTAAGCTATATATTTTAAGTTTTGGCGATTGATATATATAGTTGTAGTAAGTAAATGTATCCACAAAACGAATATTTTACAAGTAAATGTTTTTCACCCAAATAATATTTTCAAGATGTCCATTGTCCACTATTTAAGAATAAAAATGTTACCGACATGTTATTTTATGTTATAAACATAAAATATGATTATTAAATAATAAATAACTGATGTTTGTCTTTAAAAGACAAGTTTATAGAAAACTTAGGTTCTCTCAGACATGCAGGTTTCTTCGCGATGTTTTCCTTCACCGTAAATTTAACAATGTATTATCATTATTTTCAAACACATTAGTTACACCAACAGTTTATTATCACTGAGTTGATTACTTCATACACGTGTAGAAATATTTTTTCTAAATCATCTTTCACCTAGTCCATCTAATGACTCTTTATATTAGGCTGTTTTATATGTTTAAACTAAAATTGTCTATTAAACTATCATACCTTTTAGTCATGTATATTAATTTTAAAGATTTATAATATAATTCATATTATGAATCCTTAAAATCTTACTAATATTATAAATGTGAAAGTTTAGATGTGAGTTTGAATGTTTGTTACTCAATCACGCCAGAACGGCTGAACGGGTCTGGATGACACAAGAGTTAGATTATAGTCTGGAATAGCATATAGGTTACTTTACTTTTATCCCGGAAAAATGTACGGTTCCCGTGGGACAGACTTCTTTTTGTTTTTCTACAGGCAAACCCGAGCAAAGCGATGATGAGCCGCTAGTTGCTATATTATACCTATTTAATATGTTGACCCAACTCGATGTGTCAGACTCAAGATAAAAATACAAAGACTGAGAAAGAAAGATAAAATTATGGAATAAGCGAAAAGATTTAATTTAATTAGTGTAAGGTATCTCATCTCAATGTTCTCAGACATATCAGCTCTAACGTTTTCGGTTTTAATACATAATTAATTTCTAAAATCAGTTGATGTCTTCTGACAATATTTAAAAGCTATTATACAACAATCGGATTTAATACCAAAATATGCTCTATTATGATGTACATAATGTATGCAGTAGTTTTAGATTCTAAATTTTTATACGTAAGTACATGTTTAAACTCATCAATGAAAAATAACAACACAGTGTGATGCCACTTACACATTTATCTAACATAGTTTTAAATTTATTAAATTAATAGAACGATAAAATGTGCTATATTTATTTTATTTGATCATCGACATTATATCACAGTATCGTCAATTAGTCACTGATAGTACAACGAATCGGTGCTTAATAGATTTCGTACCACGCAACTTGCAAGGTTGTGCACAAGTGAGTAATCAGTAATGTGCCGCGCAATCAGATTACGGCATCTTGAAGAGACAGTTTGGTCAAGTATTTATTTTTTGTTTTATAAATTTGTTTCGGTAAATCGTGAAGTGTTTAGTGATTTTTAGTGTTACTTTAGTGATTTGTTATATAGGCGTTGCGATTTACGTATTCTTATTTTTATGTGATGTGCAAATGAAAAAATAATAGCGGTGCGTCATTCCTATATACTGATGTTATTATAATAAAGATTTTTTAATGAAAAATCTTCATAAGCGAGGATTTATTTGTCATTTATATCAAAGTGTTTCTATAGAAAGGAGTATTTATAATAATTTTCATATATATATTTTTTTTCATTTAAATCTATTTTTATATATGAAATGATTGAATCGTATTATATACTTGTCAAATTATTTATCTAAGTCTACGTGTCTATATTTTTGTAAAAGTGAAGTATGACCAATAGCACATAAAGATAAGCAACATAGTTAAAAGGTGACAATCGTGTAAGATAATTATACGCTTTCAGTTCCTGTCATATTTGCAAGCGTGCTGCACTTACCACCATCAAGGTGCTGATTTATCTGAAGACTTAGAACCATTCCTCAAATCAATTGCAGACGAGGTGAGTGATTCATAACTTTCTACTACTTTGTTATAATTCCACATATTACCTATGTTAAAAAGTTAAATAGGCATAACGTTTTTAACCAACATCAAAGTTGAGGTATTTTTCTAGTGAATGTACTCGTACATACATACCCCTAGGTGTATTATTGATTTCAAAATTATCATACTTATGAAATTTTGATGCCTACAGGCATTGAGGTTTTAATATTAAGTGAAAGTTAATTAAATTCATGTTAAATAGTAATACATTTGTTATATAATGTAATTATAAATTATAATAGGCACAACCATACATTATGTTGAGCCATAAAAAGACGCAGTAGAGTGTGGTGGACGTAACGTGTGATTGCGTTAGGAAAGGAAGTGGGGTCATTTGAACGTGACATATTATGTGTAAAATAAAAATAATAAATAATAACATGTTGGAACATTAACACACAAAACCATCTAGTTCCATGGTAAGTTACTAGGCTTGTGTTATGGATACCAGATTTTTGATACAATGATACACTACACATACCTATATAACTTTAAATACATACATATTATAAAATATAAACACTCATGACTGGAGTACAAACATTCGTGCTCATCACACAAGTGAATGCTCCCGTATCGGAACTCGAACACGCGATCGCTGGCATAGCAAGTAGGGTCACTACAAATTGAGCCAAATGCGTCGTCGTTGTCAATACATATTAAATAATTTGCTTATTAAATTTAATGTTCATTTTTTATTTATGTTTATCTTACCACGACATGTAATACGTTTTCCTTAAAGGAAAATAATCGTATTATGTATTATCTTACATTACTAAGAAAAATTGTAATATCTAAGCTGGTTTGTAGAAAACGACTATCATTTAGCGGATAATTATCCAGTGCAAAACAAACGAATAAAAATGTTTATAATCCGTCGGATTGCATGCTAAATCACATACCAATAGTATTTTAAACTATTAACAATATCTATACACAATTAACATTTCTTGAAAAAACGCTAAAATCCTAATTGATATCACGGAACAATTAAGAAAGTATTGATTGTTAGTAATTTAAAGCCAACTATTGACTAATGAGTGCATTACAGATTGCAACAATGCGTAACGATACAAAAATACTCGACAAGGAGATGGAAAATCGGCATACAATAGTCAATAGTAAGGATACGGTTTTACCAAGTTGTAAATCCGTCGCTAGCGAAAGGGATAGCAAAGATGGCTTAATGAGCACTCCTTGTTTGAAAAATATGCCCCGAATGCAAGGATATTTGTTTAAAAGGACATCGAATGCGTTTAAATCGTGGAATCGGCGTTGGTTCTATCTGTACGACAATCGTCTCGTGTATAGGTGAGTCTGTTTACAGTTTACACTTTACGCTCGACACGCTAGAGCTTGAAGGCTGCTTAAGTGGGACGCAAGTGGTGGTCAGGGTCTATGAAATTAAATAGTATGCGCAGTTCTTGTTAAGTATAAAATATTTGGAATTATAATTTATTCTTATTACAATACTATTATGAATGCGAAAGTTTGTATGTTTGTTACCCTTTCGCGCTGAAACGACTGGATGGATTTTAATGAAATTTATTACACAGATATGATGTGCCCTGGAGTAACACATAGGCTAATATTAATAAAAAAATTGCCAAAGGGTTGCATGATAGTATAAAGAAGCACCTAGGGACGTACCCGAGCGAAGTTGGAGCAAGCTAGTAAAGTTATATTTGTGTTTCATATAAGAAGTATTAGTTTTATTAATTTATTAATTTTAAACGGAAAAGTCAAGAGTCAAAAAAATAATTAAATTTCTTATTTTTGTTTTAGTTGTCTATGAAATGAATGTAATTTGCCTTTTAGGAAAAGAACGGGTGAATTAAATGTTACGGTGATGGAGGAGGACTTAAGGCTATGTACAGTCAAACCAGTGCACGATGGCGAGAGGAGATTTTGTTTTGAAGTTTTGTCACCATCAAAGTAAGCAATACATTGTAATTACATGTTAAAATGCCTACTAATTCCTCTACCCTAAGGTTGCATGGAAGAGATCGGTTGTAGCGATAAGGCCGCATGCTGTGCATTTTTTTTATGTATATTTCTCATCTTTATGTATTTCTTGTGTGGTGTGCAATAAAGTGTTCATTATTATTACTACAGAAGTCACATGCTCCAAGCTGATTCAGAGGAAATGCTCAATTCGTGGATAACGGCTCTCCAGAATGGGATAAGGGCGGCCATACAGCAAGGACAGAGTAGAGACAATCCCGACTCGCAAATGGTCCTCGTGCCGGATGACACTCGGACAGCAAGTAATAGGCATAGTGTTGCCACCCCAGCTATGAAGAAAATCAGGTAAATATTTTAAACTATCGGACTTACTGTTTGTTCGCTCGGGGGCGTTGTCCATAGGTACGTTATAGAGATGCGCCGAATGTTCGGCCGAATATTCGTATTCGGTATGTTCGGTGCTTTTTTTTGTGTTCGTATTCGGCCAAATATTCGGTTCAAATGCCGAATAATTACCGAATATTTTAATAGTATTATGTTAAGATTTATAACTATTTTAAAAATTAAAAAAGGATTCACACTAAGAAATACATAGTATCTTAATACTATGAAACACACATTACCTTACGTAACCATCAAAAGAAAAGTTAGTTTTTGTACATTTACTGCACCGCTGTTGTTACGTAAAAATGAACCGAATAATTCGGCCGAATGTTCGGTTAGGTACATTTTGGACCGAATATTCGTATTCGGTTGAACCCATATTCGGCGCATCCCTAGTACTACGTTAAAAATAGATAAACATGGTTATTGATAGCGTACCTAAGGGAATACATGCTATTGAGTCATATATGCTATTGCGAACTTTTCTGTAGGCCTTTTTAAGGTCTATAATTGTGTAGTGCATTGTTTTGGTTTATCTCTAGTCAACGTTAGCTATGTAAATTGTATATTTCTAAAGACGATTCGATAGAACCAGTTTGTTTGCGATTTTCCTGTAGTAAAAGGTATCGTAAATATTTTTTCGAGAAATAAGTATCACTACACAAAATTTAGTTAAAATCGGTTCAGTATTTTTTGCGTGAAATTTAAACAGATATACATACAAAAATAAAAAGACAAAAATTTCAATAACTATTGTTTTTGGGTCTATATTCGACAATACGTTACGGTCATTGTTTTTAAAAAATATTGCATGTACAGATTTCGCTAAGTTACTATTTTATTATATACATAAGTAAGACAGATAAAAGTACCTTTTCAGATTTTTTTCTTTATTTTGATTTTTTGTCCCCGATATTTAGAATGTCTCTCCCGTGACCATGAAGTAATCAGGTAATGTCAAATACAAAGTACAAGGACTAGCGGTACTGATTCGCGGCTTAGCTAAAAGCGCACTGTTATGGTTCTTAATTATTTATTTCTATTAATATATTTCCATGATTTTTTTCATAAGTATGTGAAACATACAAAAAGAAATTGTCTTTACGAATTTTGCTATTGAATTTGTGCATATAACATTTTGTCGGACATCGCGAATTTCCAAAAGAAGTGTGTAAAAGCTATTTATATATCCTATAGATATACCTACTATATTATATATCTTCAGATATAACTGAGCGTTAGAGAGAATTGAGAAAAGTAATTAATTTACTACAGTTTAGTGATAAAACTAAAAGTTGTTTGGCCGGATACCAAATATCCGGCGAGCTGTAAGGCTGGATGGCCGGATATATATCTATTTCTAGTTTTATTGGTACAAAACGAGTGAGTGACTGTTTATGAGACTGAATTCCAATTAATTTGCATTTAAATACCAAGTATAATTATTAAGAATTAAAATTATCTATGCGCTTAAATAAAGATAAAGCTGTTTTTCTTGGGATATGAATCTGGTCCAAATATGAAATGGCTGAACAAATTTGGATGAGATTTAATACAAAGATAAAGTATCTGGAGTGACACATAGGCTACTATTAGGCGCTAAGAAGAAGGTTACTAAAAATGAATCCGAGTGTAGCGATGGTAAGTCGCTAGTTATAATAATAAAGTAAAAATTAGTAAGAAGCTGTTATTTTGACATTACAAACAGACACTTCAATTTTATATTTATCTGTACTCGGATTCGTCCCTAGTTATGTTTTAACGTTAGTATAGATTTTTCAAAGATGAGATATTTTCCCGCAGTAAAAAGTATCGTATATGTTGACCCGGATAACCAGCTATCATCATATCAAATTTCATCAAAATCTGTTCAGTGGTTTTCGTGATGTGTTCCCAGACAGACAGACACAATTTTTTTTATAAATTGTAGTTTTTGCCTCTGTATCGGTAATAACAACTATTTCAATAAGATTTTCCGAAAAATATTTAATGTACAGATTCGACTCAGAATTTTATTATATGTATAGATGCAGAGATATAATTAAAATTTAGTATGAAGTTACCTTTGGTACCTACCAGTTGAGAGGAGACGACGGCTTTAACTATTGAACATAATGTTTCAGAATTTGGGAGCAATTGCTCAGTATACCGGGGAACAATTACTGCTGCGACTGCGGCAGCCCCAACCCGCGCTGGGCGAGTATTAACCTGGGAATAACATTGTGTATAGGTTTGTAAATATATTATAATAATACTGGCGACTTACCCTCGTTTTATATTCTTTTACGCTTTTCTGTGAGCGGATCCCTATTTCTTTTTTTAATATAAGCATATCGTAAGTTACTCCTTATAACATCAGCTATCTGCCAGTTAAAGTCCCGTCAAAATCGGTCCAGCCGTTACATTAGAGGAGAGTAGCCGAACAAACAGACGGACAAAAATTAAAAAAAAAAAACGTATTTTTCTTATAAGTACCGTATATACTTTCATATATATTTAGTCAAAAGCTGTTTTTTTGACATTACAAATAGACACGTCAATTTTATTTATCTGTATAGAAACAAAATCCTAAATATTTAGTTGAATTCTCAATTAAAGAAGTATTGTTTTTTCTAGACTGTTCGGGTGTTCATCGCTCGTTAGGCGTTCACGTCAGTAAAGTGAGGTCACTTACGTTAGACGACTGGGAGCCAGATATTATAAAGGTGATAGATTTATTGTTGTTTAATATTTTCATATAATACTAGCAGAACCCCCGGCTACGCCCCAGTTCAATCTACAAATAATACTCTTTGGCTTTATGTTAAACAGCGACTCACTCTCACGACAACTTCGTCGCTGTGTATTTATATAATATTGTTCAAACAAAACTACTAAAATCGCGATTAAAAATGAGGGGTGGAGGGTAGGAGAATGAAAAATACTTTACGACCTATTCTCATACCTACCACATAATATATTATACAAAAAAAAGCCGTTTCGGAGGAGTGCGACCACAAACACCGTGACACGAGATATTTATAATTCATATATTAGATTATAAAAAATTATTGCATCAATTAGAAAATGAAACTTATATAATAATAATTACGAAAAACAACTGAACAAAATGGTATACGATTGTACTTAATACAGATATAATATAATTTTAAAATAATATTTTTTTACAGGTAATGGCAGAATTAGGTAACAAAATAGTCAATTTAATATATGAAGCCAATACAGAAGGCACTACCATCACAAGGGCCACACCTGATTGTGAAGCGTAAGTTATCAATGCTAATTGCACTGTACTACTGAATCGTTCACTTTAGCAAGATTATGCACGGAACCATTTTTGTTCACAATTTATTGTAGATTATTTTTGTATGTGACACTTTTTGCGTTAAACCGAATAGTTTTCGAAATTTTTAAGAAAAACTGATGAAAACTACTAATTTACCAACATATATAACCCCCTCCCACCCCAATCCCGACGCTCAAAATGGTGTAAGAACAATATGTGGACTGTAGAGATCAATTTGGAACTGGAGGTAAACTTTTACTTTGGATGTTGAGGTTGGGCTGTTTTTTAGACTAATTGTACTGTACTAATATATTATGACGATTATTTTTATCTCATTACATCAAATGGTAATAGTTTATCATAAAGTATTGTAAAGTGTTATTCGCTATTTATATTATAAAGCCTCTTCTACATTTACAGGTCAGTGCGTGAGGCGTGGATAAGGGCAAAGTATGTGAAGCTGGAGTTTGTGAAGAACATTGTAAGCAGTATGACAGACTCCATACAGGAGTCGCCCTTGAGAAACGGCAGGCGGTGGTCGGTGCGTCGCGCCAGGCGGAGGTACGTATTCTTACTAATTATTAGATTATATAATAAACTAGCAGCACCCGCTGCTTCGCCACACAAGCGTTTACCACACGAGAAAATTCACAAGATCACCCGCTGGGCTAATCTGATGATTACCGGAAAATTTTACATTCAGCAGTTTTGGAGTCCATAGGAAACATACATACACACATCGATTTTTATTTTATTTAATCAACAATTTAAATTTATTTATTGCTCAGAAAATGGAGTCTTTTATAAAAAAATTGTGACACACCGACTGCAGCGCCACCTACTGGATCCTTTTGTGTTTTCAAACCTTGCAGAGACACACTCGAACATACATAAAAAATATCATTAAAATCGTCCCTGCCGTTTAGGAGATGATCAATGGCACACCAACTGCAGCGCCATCTACTGGGTCCAATTGTGTTTTCAAATCATCCAGAAGCCCATTGAAATATACAAACAAAATTTTATCCAAATCGGTGGAGTCCTTTAGGAAGAGTAGGTTAACAAACACACGTACAGAAGAATTATATTAAGATTAGCCTCACTGGTCTAGTTGCTAGCATTTACGCTTGCCGATGTTTAGTTACTGATTTAATCTGTTAAGAAAGTCCCAGTACAGCCCGGAGTTGGGAAATTGGCGGTGTTTCATACCCGTGCCTCGGACAGCACGTAAAGCCGTTAGTGCTGCGCCTGATTTCTCACTGCAAGGGTCGATTTCCGTCTCAAATTCCAATAGGACAATATCCTAGTGGACTTTGAGAGTGACAAGAATAAAGAGTGCACTTATCTCTGCGCGTACTCTTGTGCACTATAGTATCTCCTGACTCTTATAGTGATGGTTAATCTCAGTGAGATTAGCCACCGTGGGCACAATCGGTCAGAACGTCTTCGCCATTATTCATTCTCGACAAACCTCTACAGACTTTTTTCCAATTTGAAATGCCTAGCTGTAATATCATATATATATATATATATATATATATATATATATATATATATATATATATATATATATATATATTTATATATCAAATTGACCCACAGAGTTCGTGTTCCGCCATCTGTACCTGAGACAATTAAAGATGAAAAAAGTGACGCGAATAGTAACACAAGTGGTATGTTTATTTACAATTTGCAATATTACTATATTTATTTTTTATTTTGCCGATTCAGTGATAATAATTATTTATAATCGTACGTAAGTAAGAATAAAAAAATAGTTACCAGCACAAACTCGATAAACTCGAACAGAAAAAAACAAAAAAAAACATAACCTTTATTTTCTTAATGACCTTGCTTGACTGAAAGAGATCCCTTTTAAAATGAAGTCAACCTTTGACCACGTCACTTTTAATTTTTTTATGTATTACTTGTTGTACAAACGTGCAATAAATGTTACAATATGTATATGTAGTATCCGAGAGCTCGACGAAGTCGGACGGCAGTCCCGTGCTGCTGATCGGCACCGAGCTGTCCGGCGAGCGCCCCGTCGACCTCGGCCTGCCCTCCGACCACGACTCCACAGAGGGAGAGGATGACGATTTGGGTACTGTATATGTTTTTATTATAATTTTGTACGTACATATAGTTGTATTAATAACAGAAACAAGGTAGTTATAGCTTAGTGGTAACCTGTTTGCTTGGGACAAAAAGTGTAGAGGGTTCAAATCCCAAACATGATTACCTTGTCTTACAGTTATGTCTGAGAGAACCTAGCAAATATTCGAAAGACATGTGAAGTCCGCCAACCAGCACTCGGGGAGCGTGGTCGACTATGATCTGATCACCCTCGTATTGGAAGGGGGGCCCGTACCCAGCAGTAGGACGTTAAAAATGAATACTAATACCACATACATTGTACAGGTGCGGAGGACATATCCCTGCTGTCGGCGGAGGCGGTGCTGGCGCGGGCGGCGCGCGCGCACAACGTGTGCGTGATGCGCGCGGCGCTGGCGGCCGGCGCCGACGCCAGCCGCGCCGGCGCGCGCGCGCGCACGCCGCTGCACGCCGCCGTGCTCAGCGTACGTCGCTAGTTTTTTTTAAATTAATTTATAAGTTCACAAAACTGACGTACAAATGAAATAAACAAGCGTAATTATCATTGTTCTAAGGTATAAGTACAATTAGACAAATGATGTCTTCTAAGATGTGAACATCACGTGCATATGAAAAGAACTATGTACTAACTATACAGTAACTAACAGTTGATGAAATTGACTATTTGAACGTAGTAATGTAAAACGTATCCAGCCCACGAAAACCGTTTTTTGAGTTACTGTCATAAATGTCAACTACATATGAACTTATATACAAAAAGTAGATAAGATACCCCATATTTAAGAGATATTTTAAAATTTCGGTCTTGTTATTTTGATATACCAATTTTACTAAAACTCCTATTTTTTCAAAATTAAGTTTTTGTGGTTGGACCTATTTTGGATAACTATGTCTATCTAATAGTGTGAAAAAAAAATGTTTTATTGATTGATATCTACATAGGGCAGGGGCTTAATTATATCCTACCTGGGTGACAGGATTCGTAAGATCCCTCGCAAACTTTTTCTCGATAGTTTAATTCATATATTTGGATTGATCCTAGCTATATCTATGTAAGAAATAATGAAATTGCTAGGAATTTTTCTAGGAAAGAAGAAACGCTAAAATTAAAAATTAATTTAAGAACCAACGCAACTGAAATCACGATCTACAAACTCACAACAATTATATAATTTATGATGTAATATTTAAAATTGGATATTTTGATTGGTTTACATTTACATTTTATTTAATTAACTAGCAACTCACTCTAGCTTCGCTCGGGTTCGTCCCTAGGTACGTTTTAACGGTTAGTATGAAATATATATATATGTATTATATAGCCTTCCTCAATAAACGGGCTATCTAAACCAAAAAGAATTTTTCAAATCGGATTAGTAGTTCCTGAGATTAGCGCGATCAAACAAACTAACTTGGCCTCTTTATAACATTACTATAGATTTGTAAGTACAATATAAAAATTATTCATTTTGCAATTTATTCATTTTTCTCAGGGTTCAGTAATGGCATGCTCATTTTTGTTACTCAACGGCAGTAAGTTAAACGCTCAAGATGAAGACGGAATGACGCCGCTGCATCTCGCCACGGAGGCGGGTCACACTGGACAGGTATGACACGTATTCTTTGTTTTGTTATACATTGTAAAACAATCCCGTTTTAATAATCGTTATATTGTCAGTGATTAATAAATTTTATACTAACAAGAGAAAATCATACGTTCCGCCCAAACATTAAAATATATTCGTCGTCATACTTTTCCTTCCTGCCTGGCACCTGTATAGACGAACACCACAGAGGTTGTACGAAGGCGCTCGATGTCTTCAACTAAACTAGCGACGCGTAACCAAATATATGTTTACAAAATTTCAAATTATTAATTATCATAGAGGCGTCGACGTTAAAAAGTACTGTTCCCATAAGCTAAACGAATGACATTTTAGAACTCATATTCATTGTTATTTTTTTCTGTTAAAATGCCGTTGCGGTACAATGTTTTCTACAGTTATTATCCATCTTTATGGATATTGTCATAGCCAGAACACTTTTCTTGGTAGATTTGGCAAATTTTAAATATTAATTAAACCAATATGAAAATTAACTAAAATGTTTTTGACGGTTCAATGCATTTAGTAATTTTTAAACTTTTAACCTGCCTATGCTTGACGAACAAATATTAAGAATAAGAAACAAATGTTTGTAGGCTCTAGCTAAGTAAATCTTATGTTTTAAAAATATATATTTTACTAGCAATTTACCTAGGCCTCGCCCGGGTGCGTTCATCGGTGTATAACAGCTCGGTTTTCCCCAGGGGCCAGGTATCTATATGCTAAATTTCAACAATATCCGTCTAGCGGTTTTATTGTGAGGGAGTAACAAACATACATACAAACTTTAGCATTTATAAATAAATAATAATAGTCCAATATAGTTTATAGTTATAATTGAGGCAGTGGTAGCTCAGTAGTAACGCGCTCGCTTGGCAAACGGAGTGAAGCGGGTTCAAATCCCGGTTCTCGCACCTCTGATATTTTCACATGCGAATCATTTCCAACGTGATGACCACCGTGAAAACACCGTGAGGAAACCTGCATGTCTGAGAGAACCTAGCAAGTTTTCGAAAGACACGTGAAGTCCGCCAACCCGCACTTGCCCAGCGTGGTGGACTATGGCTTGATTCCCCTCATATTGAAGGGAAGCCCGCGCTCAGCAGTGGGACTTAAAAATGGGCTGAATACAAGTCCTATATAATAATATAGTATTTATTTCCAAGGTGTGCCTCCTGCTCCGCTACCGCGCGGACCAGTCGCTGGCCGACGGCGCGGGCCGCACGCCGCTCGACATAGCCGTGGCGCACGCCAACGCTGATATCGTCACATTGTATGTCATTAAATGTTACTAGCTTATAAATATAATACATTTATTTTATTACTTTCTCAGTCCACGTGGTAAAGAAATTAATGTCTTGGTCTGCTTTGCGTTTATTTGTATTTTTGTATGGTAGATGGCGGGGTTCGAAACGATAATTATCATGATATTTATCATGATAAATATGGGTTGATAATTTATCTTTGATAATTATAATCGAAAACTACTACTAAAACAAATTAAATATATCCATGACCGTGCTATGAACGTATCAAGCACGGAAACAAGCGACACGAACTACTATGCCCACTAGAACGTATCAACAGCGTATCATACCCGTTTATAACTGTTTAAGTGATCATATCGTAGTGACGTAGCATCCGCGTATCAACCGCGTATTATCCGCGTGTCGTATCTGTATAGTTCCCGTTTTCTCAGTCGTAGCAGTTCACCTGTGCTTTCGCGCGAGGCAGCTGCATCATAAAGAGCGAGTGAATATTTTTGTTAAGAAAATGATTTCCTATACCTATACGATGGCTATTAGAAAATTGTTCGGCATTGAATTAACAGTGATAGCCATTGTTTCAGACGAGGAAGAAAGAGAGAAAAATAACATCAGTCGATCACTACGTTACTGGGTACACGCCGCTTTAAAAAATATATAATTTATAAGAAAATATTATCACTAGAAGACAAGCGGCAACACGTTTATAACGGGTTTAGAACGGTCAATATACGCGGTTATAACCCGTATGCTCACCTTTTCGCCGCCTACGCGCACCGGTCCCAGAACGTCGCGTGCCAGGCACGGAGCGTACCGCCACCGGCAAAATATTCTCGCCGACAATTATTACCGCCTTCGTGCACGGCACGCGATGGTGCTGGTCGGTGACGGAATAGTGTCTAGTGGGCATAGTGTTATACTTTTCAATACATGATTTTTATATCTCGTAAAATCGAAGAAAAGAAGAAAACAAAGAGTTAATAAAATAATAATTACTCGAGTACTTGACGTTTTAAATAAAACTATTTATATTTAAAACAATAAAACAGGTTGAGACTAACAAAGCTGAACGAGGAGATGCGCGAGAGCGAGATGTCCTCCAACGACGACACGTACAACGAGGTGTTCCGCGACTACACGCAGCTGGCGCACTCGCACCCCGAGCGCCTCGTGCGCGCCAAGCACAACAACAATGACGGTCAGTATACATTTTAAATGCCTTTTTTAACTGTAATAATATACTTTATTGCACGTGTATGTAACATACAGAGATTAACAAACAATCAAATTAGTTAGCAAAGGTGGACTTATCTCTGGAAGAGATCTCTTCCAGTCAACCTAAGTGACTTGGAGAGGTATGTAGTATTAAAAAGCAGACTAAAGTGCAGTTACTCCAATATAAATACTTAAATAAATATATATTATATGTACTATTATACATTCTTTATATCATAATATTTTTATTCATAAATCGTCTGGAATGAGGGTTAGAAGGGGAAAAGTGTGATATTTCGACCGTCACGACACTTTTTATTGTTTACTAAGAGTACCCCGTGTGACGTCATCATCATAGGAACGTATGTAATATAGTTCGTATGCACTCTTATGACGGGGCCCTATATATATTGGACATTCTTCGAGATTTGTGGTCCCCTAGTACTAGTGACAATTAATTAAACCAACCCATAATGTGACGTCATCACAAGTACCAGGCGATCATAAGTGTTTAGGAATGTATGGTGTAAGAAATTCGTGTGCACTCCTGTTTAGCCTTTTCTTCGATGAGCTTCAACACGTACAATGTACTTTGCTTGATATTATGGTATCGTCGTAGTACTCGTGACAACTTTTCTTGTCTTAATTTATGAGCCAAGGGCAAACAGCGAAATGAACTTCTTACCGGGTGTACCCACGACACCTCTCGACTTTTTAAATTTAATTATTAGTTTTTGCGATTTTTTAAACGCCCCGTTGAGTCGAGGCGAGACCTCGCCGCTAGCCAAGTGCGGTCTGGTAGGTCTTCGAAAAGTAGTAATCTTATAGTTTATTGTATAATTCAATATTATACTTAGTTAATGATAAATTGGCTACATGTTGTATAATTTGCAGTGTTTCTATCACAAATATTTTATATGAAGTATGCCTACATTGGTTGATATTATTATTAAAATAATATTTATTAACTACAACGAATATAATAATAATAAAATACGGGAATACTTCTACGACCATCTTAGATTTTATATTGAAGTAGTATAGTATAGTCTAATAGTATTTTATTATATACTAGCAGAACGATCTACAAAAAAATTCGGGCTTTATGTTGTACAGCGACTCACCCTCGCTTTTAAAAATAAAAATGGGGGTTATGGGTAGGAGGATGAAAAATACTTTACGACCTATTCACATATCTACCAAATATACAAAAAAAATATCATTAATATCGGTCGAGCCGTTTCGGACGAATGCGACCACAAACACCGTGACACGAGATATTTATGTATAGACTAGCGACTCATTCTCGCTTCGCTCGGTTTCGTCCCTAGCTTGCTTCCCTATACAAACTTTCATCCCCATTCTCACCCCCTTAAGGGATAATTTCCGGGATAAAACTATTTCATTCACTTTTCATATCATGAGATTTAAAAAAAATCTTATTTTAGTAAAAAAAAAAAATTCATTTTCTTCTATACAAATCCTCCTGACAATAACAAACACAACAAAAAAAGAATTATCCAATTTGGTGCTGTCCATTCGAAGTTATGCGCGTACATACATTTCGGTGATTCTTTTTTTATTTATGTAGATTTTTCTCTATTTTTAGGTGAACAAGCTAGTGAATGACGAATAGAGAGAAAGTTTCGACGACTACATCTGTGGTGGCGAGACGAGTGATACTAACGTACGGTGGTGATCACACCAAGTGCTTATTTATATATTCCCTATACAAATATGTATTAAAATATTTGAATTACGAACATCCTATTTGTGAGTACATATTATATAAATCGTGATTATACAATTATTATTATATATAATAAAATGAAATGATTGTTTTTGCTTTTTCAAGATCTTATGACAGTTTGTTTTTATTGTTAATGTCGATGTATCGCTAATAAGACGTGGATAGTTCACGATAATAACGAATTAGTATAAGTTGATTAGTTGTAGAACTGTGCTAGATAAAAACATACACTTACTATGAGTATATGAAATTATATAAAAATAATATGGAATATAGGGCTGCCACTTTAATATTAAATGCTTACATATTGATGAACAATTAATTTTACTAGTTTAATATAAAATTACAAAGTTTAAATGTATAATTTACACTTCAATTAGTTGTATGCTACAAGAATATATTACAGTTCGTTATTTTAAAATATTTTGTGTTTAATGTCTTATAATGTGAGTGGTAACCCTATGATTGGAAGTGATCTCTAAAGATTTTTTGAGGCTTTAATAAAATTGTTTGTAACATTTTAGCTGCCAAATTCCTAATAGAAAAGACTTAAACACCATATCTTCCCATATTTTCAAAAAAAAAAAATTGTGATGTGCTAATGTGCATTAAACCAAAGAATTGTTTATATATGAGCTTAAGTAAGGAAATTTTAAGAATCATATAAAAATAATATCTAATACTTTACAAAAAAAAACAAGATAAATATTATATTCAATACATATATTGTAAATTTTCTATTAAGTATTCACCGTGTGGTTTTTGAAAACCAATGCAATGCATTCCATTTAATGCAAGTATTTACCAAGCTATTGTTGTTAGTACTTATATTTCACCGTATATTAAAAAAGTGTATCTTAATTATTAGATTTCAAATATGTAAACACGATTTTGGATTTCCTAAAAAAACTTGTGTACAATGTAATTTTTTTACATTTTAATAAAACTGCTATATTTGCTTAGTTATTAAAAAAAAACTTATGCTCCACATTCCTTGTAACTTTGAATAGTTAATTAAACTTTTTTAATAAATCATTCCAAAATGACTTCGAAAACGGCAAAATTTCTTTATCCATATACATTATTATGAATCTCATTTTAATTAGTGATCATAATACTTTATTTTTTACTCTAGTTGTTATTGTTGTATTCAACCCTTTTAGCGTCCCACTGCTGGGCGCGGGCCTCCCTTCAGTACAAGGGGGATCAGGCCATAGTCCGACGCGCTGGCCAAGTGCAGGCGGACTGAGCATGTCTTTCGAAAACTTGCTAGGTTATCTCAGACATGCAGGTTTCCTCGTGATGTTTCCCTTCACCGTAAGACAAGTGGTAATCTCGTTTGAAAATGATTCGCACATGAAAATATCAGAGGTGCGAGACCCGAGATTCGAACCCGCTTCTCTCGGTTACCCAAGCGAGCGCGTTACCAATGTGCTACCACTGCTCTGTTATTGTTACGGTACATAAAATATTCGTCTCTTTGTTGTGGATTTGCTTGCCAATTGTTAGTGTGCGTTTTATTATTTTGCTGAAGGATTGTAAGATTGAAAATTTTAGCTTAGAATGGACCAGCTATTTTCAGTGGACTGTTTAAGATAATTAAAATGCATTTAATCAAGAAACGACAAAAATAATCAATTTTACAACAGCTTTTTTTTTTATAGACACCATTTTCAAAAACTTAATATCTAACAAATATGTATTTATTGAAAACCAATAATAATAGTCCTCATAATTCCTTCATAATCAACGTTTTGATGAATTTACTATTTAGCGTTAGGTAATTTACATGTGATGTTAGAATGTTTATCGTTATGAATGAATGAATGAAATGTTATAATCTCTGCAGATAAATAAAATTGAATTGTCTGTTTGTAATGTTAAAATAACAGCTTTTTACTAAAGGCATATAAAATTATTTACGGTACTTATACGAAAAACACATTTTTTTTTTGACTTGCTGTCTGTTTGTTCCGGCTAATCTCCGAAAGGGCTGGACTGATTTGTCGGTATTTTCACTGGCTGATGTTATGAGTACTAAATTAGGGTATTTTTATTTTAGAAAATGAATTAGAGTTTCGCTCAAAAAAATTAAAACTTACGCTTACTAGGGACGCATCCGAGCGAAGCAAGAGTAAGTCGCTAGTTAGTATTAAAAAAAAAAATTTATCCTGGCAGATCTACAAAAATTTAAAAATTGTGTTTTTCGTATAAGTACCGTACGAGTATATAATTTCATATGTATTTAGTAAATAGCTTTTATTGCGACATTACAAACAGACACTTCAATTTTATTTATTTGCATAGATTTAAAGAGAAAAAACTGTTTTTATAATTGCGCGGTTATTTCGTATAGCCATCTTAAAATAGCAATCCCAAGGGAAAACCGGAATCGTGTGTCTGGTTTGAGTTCGAGTCACACTGAGCGCGAACGAATACCCTAATCATTTTTATTCGTATCTCATCTCAACTTAGTACATTCAAAAAGACACGGCTGGTCTTGGATAACTTAACTTACGGTGGCTAAATGAAATAATTCATAACATTGTAAGAACAGTATTTCTTATGTTTGATTAATAATAATTAAATAGATATACAAATAAAATCATTTCTGATATTGACCACAACTTATTGTTCCAGAATAAAATTCCTGTTCTTACAATTTTTATTTAGTTGTATCATATTCTATTTAAAATGAAGTATTTATGTGCTCTGAATTTGTATTTAATGTTACATAGATGTTGCCGTCACAATTGTCATCATGTACATATGTTTGGAGATTAAAAAAAATGAGTTGCAATGTTTTTATAAAATTATAATAATCAATGCCTAAGTATTATGAAAAGATTATTTTTTATTTACATTGACTTTTCCCAGTAGACTAAAATAGTGATGTAAACGAAATTAAGTGAGTTAAGTTAACCACGTATGTAAAAGTTTATTATGTAACAAATAAAATAATCTAAGCACAATATAAAACTTTTATGAACTTATTATACCAGTTGGAAAATATAATAATAAATGAAATTTCATATGGAAGAAATAGAATATGAAGATTGAATGAGAAAGTGCCATTAAAGGAATTGAGAAGGTACTGGAATATGTAGGTAGTTTTATGTATAGCTATTTGTTATATTATAACCGTGTCTATCATCTATACAATACTCCGTTATGCTGTTGATGTATTAATCTTTATTACTTAGTTGTATTTTGAATAAAGTATTTAAACTTATTTGATTTTTTAATTATTATTACCAAAAGACACCATACTGGTACCCACGAATCCCAGATCCCTTACGAAGAAATTGAAGACTGCTTATTTGGTCTATTCTTGAGGCTAATTTTAAAAGTTTAAAATTAACTTGCAATGTTTGTTCGTTGTCGATTATTTGATTTGGTTCAAATCCTTTTCTTTAAATTATTTTTTAAATCATACAATATTTTTAACACAAAATATTTTATGTTAAAATTTACATTGGGTCCTTCTCCAAGGTCCCAATTCTCTCTATACCAAACTTCATCAAAATTAGTTCAGCGGCTTGGGCGTTAAAACGTAACAGACAGACAAGAATTACTTTCACTTTTATAATATTAGTATGGATTACATAATGTTTTATTTGGAAGGAATAAATGCACTATTCAGTTTCATTTTGACTTTAAAATAATTTTATAATATTTAAAGGTGAAAAAGACATGCTGTTGACATGCATTCAACATATTCCCAATGATAATAGGAATTTTTACGACATAATTATTAAATTGCCATTTTTCTTTAGAAACAGCGCTGGATTTACACGGGGCTAGTGCCCAGGACAGTAAAATTCGGAGGGTTAAAAAAAATATCTTAATGTTATCGGAAATTCTTTTTATATTTTCCAAAAAAATATTAATAAAAAAATTTACTAGTACATTTTTCGAAAAATGGAAACATTTATATAAATCAATGTTTGCATTTTTCGAAAAATTTATAATTTAAGGAAATTAACGATTATCGAAACTTAATCTACTTTATGCAAAATTTCGATAATTGGGCGCATTTTTTAAAGTGCCCAGGGGCGGCGCAGGACGAATCCGTCACTGCTTAGAAAATAAAATAAATACAACGACTTTATATAGTTTTTGTTCTGCACGACTCCCGAAGGCGATTGTTTTTGGGATCGATCCATTCTGGTCTACATAATATATTCTCCCATGTCTAAAATTGATTTAAATTTGCTGGTCTATTGTATGTATGTCTTTAGCTGCTAGCTAGTATACATCACAATTTAGATCACCTTAGCACCTGCCCCTTGAATAAATAGATTATTTCTGTTATTGATGAATTAAATTGAAAGTTAAGTATGGTTAGGTACAAAAAATACTACCCATTTTTAATGATAAGTCTGCATTTTGACCGACTTCTAAAAAGAAGGAATAGAACCTCATTTGTTTGTATATGTTTTTTTATTGCTAAATATATAAACTTATTTTAGGTAATATAGATAATTATAAAATAATAGTCTTTATAATGCTCAATATTTTATTTAAAACCCAAAAATATAAACCCACACCTTTAGAAACTATAAGAAAGAAAATTTTTCATTGGAGCTAAGAATGTCGGTAAAATTGTATTATAATTTGCCAAAGATAAAAGCGCGATGTTATAAGCGATCTTCAGAAAATATTAAATTAATAGTATCATCAAAATAACAATAAATTCATTGAAAATTTAGGATTGCAATGATTGAATTGTAATTCTTTATAATGTAATGATGTTATAAATTAATTAATAAAAGCAAAACAATGAAGGCAAATAATCTGAATCCCAATGAAAAATACATTTGCTATATAAAAACAGCTGTGTCGTCCCAACTTGTCGATTTAAAAATACTGTTTCAAATAAAGTATGACCTGCATACTTTTATAAGAATCTGTAGCGATCAACATATTTTAGTTTGCTTGTCTGTTCACTTTTCTACCGTAAAAGTAGTAAAATGAACATCTGCAACACTCAAAGAGCGACCCAACTGTTGTACATTATTAGATACATATAATATTTTAAATACATACATAAACTAAAAATATAACATCAAGTAGAGTTAAATACAACGCGGTTTGTCTGCATGTACTCTATTTAAAAAGAAAAGAATATTAATTAAAGTGCTAACTAGTTAATAGTTATATTTTACTTTATTTTTTAACTAAGTATTTATAGATCTGTACCTATGTAGGTACATGTACTAATAACATTACAAGTTGCTTAAACTTATACATTTTACAGAAATGAAATAATCAGCCTAACTTAGCTTTTTAAAGTTATCAAAATCATAATAATTATAACTTTCAAATCAATTCAGAGTGGTTATTATTTGTGCTCCATCATCCATAACCATGAACACGTTTCACGACTGATTTGAACGACTTAAATTCTCGGCCCGACCGTTAACAAATTTGAAAGAATTTAAATGCTATTTCAGCTATCGAAAAAACTTTGAACACAACATTTTCCATTAATGTTCAATTTTGTGCTAATAATATATTTATTAAGTATCAATTATCCGTATATATTATATGTGAATGTAAGTAAATATTCCAATGTACAAAATAAGTAACTTTTTCGATTTTTAATTTTTAAAAGTTTTGATAAAATGTATCTTAATTTCCATATATGAAGTATCGACATAACTATGTTTATATTTCAATTAATAACATTACGTAGCTACAATTGTAGGAAATTTAATGTATACCGTATAGCTAGGGTTAATTCATTCCGAAGCTAGACCACATCGAGTGATTAATGTTAGAGGTGACAGAGGGGGAGGGTGTCGGCGTGGCGGGCGCGGCACACGCGCGCGTTCCCAGCATCAGCGAGCCGGCCTGCATGCGACGCCGTGCCAGGAGGCCTGAACGCTCCACACCTGTGCACAATTCATTTAGTTATATAGGCATTAAAAATTTACATTTGCTGTCCTCTAGTTCATCCCTAAGTGTCTTTCTGCAACACATTTTATTGGTTGATTTTATAACGTTTATATAGCGCACGCTGATAAAGCAACACAGTGGCCAGTTCCTTTCCAACTTCAATTAAGTTTCAGACAGTAAACACATTTTTATCAGAATAAAAAATAGCCTATAGGCGGTTATGTAGTTTCGGAAATCACCGACATTAGATAAAATAATCAGTTGTGTTTTATTCACGAATCGGTTATTATTTTTTATTGTCATAATAATTAAAAAGCTTTAAAAGTTTAACTAACTTAGAACTTGAGCTATTACCTCAAAATCAAGGAACATTTCTATAATCAACGTAAAGTACCACAAATAAAATACAACCATTGTAAAAATATTATTTGTATTCATAAAACGATTAACCACGTGCAAAACTTTAATAGTGACACGTAACAGTATTCCTATCTTATAATATTAGGCCCATACATATGAAATTGACGTGTTGTCGAACTGGCCACTTTGATCTCAAACATCTGGCGTTTGCTTAGGAATACCAAATTCGAATTTATTTTAAATTTACGATTGTATATTTGTGGTTTGAATTTAGTGTTTCATTTGTTTTCGAGCCATTCGATTTTTCTTTGATATCGTTCTATTCATAAAATGAATGACTATCGCGATATTTACGAATACGAGTTCCACACAGTACAGTGCTGGGGTTATCCATTACAGCTTCTGATCTGGCCAGACGATTACAACAGATCTGTATTGTCAATAATTGCAAACCATGATGAAAAACCTAGCCGTTAAACACTCACTGCTGCCTCAGGACTGATCCTGCCCTGAGGCAACGCTAGACCACACACTGCACAACAGACGGTCAGTATATTAGAGGAGCTGCGATTGGAATGTCTCCGAAATCCACCGTACTTCCTGGATCTTGCTCCAACGGATTACAACTTTTCCGGAATTTGGACAATTTCTTGCAAGGAAAAAAATTCAATTCCGATGACGCAGTCAAACCCGCCTTCAAAGATTTTATTGATAACCGCTCCCACAATTTTTTCAACAAAGGAATCAATGAATTACCTATAAAATGGCGAAAGTGCATAGATAACAATGATACATACTTTGATTGATTAAATATGTATATAATTTCATCTTTCGTTTTGCTTTTTCCATATAAAAGTTAATACAGGTACTTCTTATATTAAGTGGGGATAATTTCCGGAATTACTACTAATCGAAACACTCTATTTATTTTCTATCCCATATCATTAATAAAACATAAACCTACCAGAAAATCCTATACTCATACGTTATGTAAATAAATATCTACTTATTTTAATTTAAAATAAGCTTCGACAGAAATTATACACATGTTTTATTTACAAAGGGAAGATATACATTATTATGTATAAGAAAGTGCGTTAAGTTAGGCATGTACCCACTAAATGTTCAATAAGACCTCAATATTCTAAGCATCAAAATCATATCGATTAACCGAGACTAGAAAAAAATCTTGCAAGAATTCCATATTATGTGATAAATAATTATCACAAGGAATATGTATTGTTTGAATTTCATACACGTTATGAATCTATTTGATCTGGGGGCGATTTTGTAATATATTCGCTACGACCGCGGACACGCCGACGTTACAGTTAACAATAGATTTCTTAGAAGTTTAATTAATTTAACTGGAGGTGTTAAAAAATTAATATTTAAAAAAATATTTAATTATGAATAATGAAACAAGTTTTAAATTAATTCAAGACATCTTAAGAGGGGAAGGGAGTGATCAAATAAGTATGGATTTTATCAGTGTGTTGCGTCAAAAGTGTAGGTTAGATTTACAAAAGCGACGATATATCTCGGAAAAGCAAGGGCTTTCACTGGTATGAAAATTAATGTATGAAAAAAAATATTACTACTATGATAAACTGATACTGAATAAAATTGATTCCTGATGCTCGTTGTAAATAAATCAATTTTATTAAAATTAGTTTTTATTTTTGAGCCGACACTATATCTACCGCGGGTGTTTACTTACTTGCTCAGCACCGCTACTGCACGTTAATGACATATCTATAATCTATATTAATATTATAAAGAGAGAGTTTGTTGGAGCGCGCTAATTTCAGTAATTACTAATACGATTGAAAAATTCTTTTTGCATAAAATAACACGTTTATTGGAGAAGGCTATATATACATATATCATATAATATATGCTCTATATATTGCATACAAACCGTTAAAACGTACCTATGGATGACACCAAGCGAAGCGAGCGTAAGACGTTAGTGAGCGCATAATACCTATATTCCAGGCGATATTTATTATAGATAGTGAAATTTTTTACGAAATATCATTATATCTCCTATAATTAAAGGTGTATATATCTAGTGTAATGCACAATTACCTTTTTTATGTTTATAAATGTAAAGTGTATATTTTTTCTTGGAGATCTTACATAAAATAAATTATCAAAATAAAATTATCAATATCCACCTGTGTCAGCGTTCTCAGGGCAGTACTTTATGGTATGCGCGCGGTCGCCGGTGGCGCCGCAGCGCGGGCAACGGAAGGCACGTAACACCGGGCAAAGCACACGTCCACGCCAATCTTTTAGCGCGTGCGATGAATAGTTTTCCTCATTCTCGCCGTTGTTTTTACAGAAAGCGCATTCCTGTATCAGAAAATAATGCATAATTATATACTACTGTCCTCCTAATATTTCCGTAGTGAAGTTTGTATTTACCACGATTATTATATACGATGTTAGTATTTTATCCGAAAGTCGAATCACGAAATAATATAGACTAAACATTTAGATTCTCTTTATTCTTCCGTCTACACCGCAGGGCAAAGGAAAAATATGTATTATATGCCACAGTTTCTTCTATGACATTGTTAAAAAGTTCATGTTTTTTATGGTAATAATATAAAGTTCTATAATCATATAATCTTGCAGCAAAGCAATTCTTAATTATTATATTAACTAATTATACACATACAACATATACAGCATTTATTTTATTAAATTTAATCAATACATATATAGTTACATACGTTAGGTAGAGCACGTCGCATACGTTTGTCGCTGCGTACTTTTGCAACTTCCTGTAGGAACTCGTAGAGCAAACTTGGGCGGATCGAGCGCAGCACCGACAGCTGCTCTCGCGTCAACATAGACACGTAATTGTTCGCCGATGACAGACCTGTTATTTATTACCATTACAGCTTTATGTATGTATTTATATATGTATGTATATATATATGTACGACTAGCAAGTATATAAGCGGAACATTATAAGCTAGTCTAGACTGGTATCTACCAGTATCTATCAGTAATCTTGAACGTTAAATTTTATTTAAAATTTGATTTTCTTTATTTGTAAGAAAAATTGTTACTTTTTAACTAATTACCTGTTTCTCTTGTACAGGTAATCAGTTAACAAGTAATAAACTTCATATTATAATAAAAAAAACTGACTGCGTAAAAAGCCAACAATGGAACAAGTTAAGGAAAGGAAATAGTATTATGCAGTCGAAGACATATGTACTTACATATGTATGTAATATGTTATATGTACGTAACTAGACTAGCAGCAAGGAGAAAACATGAATATGAGACATAAATTAATTCAATAACTTGTTCCCTTCTTTTTATATTTATATTTTTTTTATTATATTTATGATTTTTTATTTTTATATTTTTTTATTATAGCTTAAACTAATAAACGTAGTTTTGTTTCAAGAATTTGAACAAACGCCAACTTACAATTGGGAATCGTTATGACAAAATGGAGGTCGGCGGTATATTAGTTCCGAATTGTTTTGAAATAGATTCGTGCACAATCAATTATAATCAGACTTATTAACCAACTTCCAAAAAGGAGGAGGTTCTATATTCGTCTGTATGTATGTGTTTTTATGTATGTTCACAGATTTCTCGGAGAGGGCTTGACCGATTTTGCTAGTTTTAACAGTATTGTATGAAGGTAAGTTCCGAGGTGGTCCCATCAAATTTTCTTTGACAAGGAGTATACCGTTTTCGAGTTAGTTTGATCCCTATTTAAAAACTCCAATAGGATATATATATTAATAAATATTTATTGGTTTCTATGTGGCTTTTGTCGCTTTTGATGGGGTTCTATTGGTGTTTTTCAACAGGGATACCTATTTCTAATCGTCATATCGACTTAAGGTAGTGGAACTCTTTAATGGTTTATTATAAATTTAGTATAGTAATATTATAGTAAATATCTAAGTTTCAGCTTATTTGATTTTATTTGACAAGCCCAATACGTTAGAATGAATTTTAGAACCTGATTTTTAGTGTTACTAAAAAAGTGAGTTTTTGTAGTTTGCTAGTCTTCATAAAAACTTTTTAACAAAAAAATAAAAACCGACTTCAAACAAAAGCACTAAAAAGTAACAAATAACTGATTGGTAGTTTTCATTTACTATACATACCTAATCAAATATTTTCGAAGTCGGCTTAGCTTTGTATGGGCTGGCACCGATTTCGAAAATATTTGATTAGGTATGTATTTAATAGGTAGGCTTTAATTACTTAGCCAAAGCTTATTTGTTACTTTTTAGTGCTTTTGTTTGAAGTCGGTTTTTATTTTTTTGTTAAAAAGTTTTTATTTTTCCCTTTTTAGTGTAGACAGTAGTAGCAAAGTAAGGATTCTAACGTGTTAGGCTTGTCAAATCAAACAAAATAAGCCCAAACTCAAAGTATCTACTATTAGCCGTTGAAGAGTTCCACCTATCCACCTTCTGGCCTTGCCATCAGATCAGTTCAACAACACCGAACCACTGTACTATCAACGGAAATAGAAATACTTGCAAAGTTTCAAGTCAATATGACAATTAGAAGTAGGTTAAATTCATCATTAGTTGTTTTTCCACCCTTAGGGGTGGTATTTTTTTTTGAAATTTAAATGGGACCAATCTGGAAGTACACCCTTTCAAACAAAACAAAAATTGTCCAAATCGGTTAATAAATGACGGAGTTCTGAGGTAACAAACATAAAAAAACATACAGTCGAATTGAGAACCTCCTCCTTTTTGAAGTCGGTTGATAAAATACGCATACAAATAAGCATGCTAACATAAAAATCACGATAACATGTTTTTATATGATATATAATAATTAATATCTGGATGTATAGGTATCTTTTAGGGAATTTCAATTTATCTCACAATTTATCTCATAGAAATAAAAATTACAGGGTGCGAGGCTTGGCAAATTGGTTTTCTACATTTCGATATTTTGATGGGATACAAATATTGAAATATCCCACAGCCACTGTATTTTGCGATAGATATTAACCAATAAACATGATCTTATATAAGCATTGAAGAGACAAATCATACTAATTTATGTATAAAATTTAGATTTCTAGTAATAATTTTGTTGGAACTTACTTTTCACAAGAAAGTCAAATGTATCTATCATTTCGCCGTTTCTGCCCCCTTGGCCGGAGCCTTCCGACCAAATGTTTGAATGAGAAGCAGACGCTGGATCTGTTCTACTTCCTGCAAACGTAAAAAATAAAACTAGTAGAAATGATTTATGCAGTGACACGCCCGTAAATTCTAGAGAAGACCATATATCTTAGTTGTTGAAGATTTTTTAAAACAAAATTAAAAGTGAGTAAAATATTTGGACTTAAGCCAGTAAGAGATATAACAAGTAAGAGATTTAACACATAAATCATGTTAAAATAAACATTCCTTTACCCTAAAGGAATATTTATTTTTATTTTTAATCATTTATTAAACTTAAAAGTGACGAGTGAAGAGCGATGACCTCGAGAGCTTAAATTTCTTACCCATATAATAATTATTGTGAGAGTTAGGTTCTATGTCATCGAACAATAAGTCAGAGCTGTTGATGTGAAGATTCATCAGAACATCATCCAATTCCGCAGCTGACGGCGCTTTTAAAAATAAGAATATAAAAGATTAGTGCATCAAAAATGATTAATATCACATTAATTTTGGGGGAAATCTTGTTTTCTTTGCATGCTATCGTCAATATAATATGTATAATGCATCGATAGGAAGAACAAATTATAATTATTAGTGCGAGTTACAAGGTATTCTCATTACGATTAATGCGTACGGTAGGTAATAGGTGTAACAATAAAAACAAATCTATCCCAAGGGAACCATAAATGTTTCGGTATAAAAATTAACCTATATGCTATAATTCTACACTATAATCTATCTCTGTTCCAAATTGTATCCAGACCCGTTTAGCCGTTCTGGCGTGAAAGAGTAACAAACATACATTCATCCATCCATTCTCACAAAATTTCACATTAATAATAATATTTGTATGGAAGTATAGATAACTGATGGAAATGATTTTTACTAATAACTAAGGTAGGTAGGTATATTTAATCTTGCAAGATATATTTTTATTTTACTTGGTAGATTTAAAGATCACCTGTATCAGCTGGTCTAGGCTCTTGCTGCGTCATAAGCGACAATAACTCATTATCCATGCGGCTTTGGAAAGGGGCGGCTAAGGGTGAAAAACCACTTTCCTGTCCATTACCACCGTTGCTGTTTTCCGATGATGTAAAACTATCCTGCTAAAAGGGATGACAACCAATGACTTTACTATTTTATACCAGTATATCTCACACTATATATGTACCATATATATCTCTTCTCAACAACCTAGTTTTCATGGATTCATTGACATATTTTATACAATGAACGTATAGTTGTATACATCAATCATTTATTATTAATTACTAAATGATACGAGTGTTATTTGAGAGAAATCACATTAAACAAGCATAGGTAGTGGGTACACCACACCTATCCTTTATAATTTTTTTTTTTTTCAAAGTTCAACAAATGTTTAAATTAGGTTATTTTTAATGCAAGGATTTTTGAAATCATATATATAGATAATTGAAAATTATAAAGCCACACATTGAAATTATGTAACTAATGCCTTTATAAAAATATTCGTTTACGTAATAATACCAGCTACGCTATCCTTAATTACTTAGGGAAAATGGATGTATGTAAAATAATCATAATTTTCTAAATACTAAATACAGATATTTTGCAAAAACAGAAAGAATGTTTATGAAGTTTTAAACGATATACAATCTTAAACAAAAATGTAACAATGGCGGTAGTTCGTATCTTCTTTAACAATTAAAAACATTTTGTACTTACAACAGTTGTTGTGGCGTGACTATCACTCGCTGTTGTAAAAATAGGTTTGCCGTCATCCATGTTATAATTAAATTGCAAAGATTCCATATCAATATATAATATTTAGGTAAATTACAAAACTTAAAAAAATACTTGAAAGTGTAATGTTACGCGTCTGTCGACAAAAAGAACGTTCCAGGCTAACAAGCACAATATATACTAATAATATTCATGTAACAATGTATAACTATATGTCACTTACAAAACAACTGACAATTTAGTAACTACCCTAAAAATATTAACTTTCCAGAAACGCGTAACACCAAACTATAGTTTAAAATTCTATTTAAAAAACTTAGTAATATCAAAAAAATAAAAATTTAGTCAATGCAGACATTTAAAAAAAAACAATATGAATATCTTTAGATAGGTTTTCATCTAATAAGCATTTCTAAAGGATTTTTACCGATTTGTCAATATCCACTGCACCTGAAATACTGAAATATTGTAATATTCTTATATTATAGAACAAGCATAGGTGAAGAAGGGATTTTTTTAAATTAGTCCCTAAAAGGGTGAGTAGTAGTGGCCCATGTTATATGCAAGGACTCCAAGGGATTTCTAAGGGATACAGAATAGAAACTTAAGACGTAAAAAAGCATAAGTAAAGTAAAGGAATCTTTACTAATGTGGTAGCAGGTTTCCAAGGGTATAAGGTTTATGGTGAGAAAATATCATAGATATTTATATATAACTAGCAAAACCCGCGGCTTCACTCGCGCTAAAACTACAAAAAAAACTCTAAAATGCTGGATTTCATACAAATTTTCATCCGCATTTTACCCTCTTATGGGATGAATTTCGAAAAATGCTAATTGTATTGAAGAACATTTATGTCAAGTTTCAAGTAATTCTGATAATAAATATTTTTTTGAATTGTATTATTGCGTGTTTTCCCGTGGGAAAGAGATAAATCTCCCGCGGTAAAAAGTAGCCTATGTAACTCTCCAGCCCTCCAAATATCTTCACGCAAAAAAATCACGCTAATCCGCCAAATCGTGATGACGTAAAAGAAAGACAGACAAACAAACAAACAAACACACTTTCACATTTATAGTAATAGTATGGATTTTAGTAAGTCACATTGAAAGCGCATATTTTCTATCTTCCCTGCATCAATTATACTAGGATCATAATTAACATGTTAAAATACAGAAATATCATGGAACAAACAGTTATTGAATCTACTTTTAGTATGTCTTTGGAAAGCTGATAGAAATCCAAGGGAAAATGCAAGACTGTAACTATCTATACAATAAAATATATAAATGAAGACGTATATTGCAAAAAATTGTGACTACCCTCCAGAATAAAATTGTCTACATTGTTGCTATGAGCAGTGCTTTTGAAAATATTAATCATATTTTATGCATGTACTCGCAGCTAATATAAAACATGTTCCTTACATTATTATGTCTCCGACTGCATAATACTATGTTCCTTTGTCGACTTGTTCTCGTCTTTTTAGTTCGCTTTTTACACAGTGGGATTTATTTTTTATTTTTCTACATATTTTTTTATTTTTTCATTTTTTTATTTATAGCTTAGTTTTAGTCAGTTAGAAATTTTTAGGTTTATTTAACAATTTCTTATCCTAAATTACATTTAAACTTACAATTTGTTTATATTTTTTGTAATATGATTGATTCGAACGAAAAAAAATTCAAGACACACATATTCCGTTTTGATTTATTTTTAATGATATCTATATGTATATACCCTATGACCCTCGCGTTATCAAGAGGAATCGAACGACGTATGAATCATCAAAATCGGTTAAGCCGTTTAGTAATTACGAAGAACATAGGATCGGACATTCATACATAAAGGTCAAACAGATAACTCTCCTTTGGGCTTCGCCGCAGTCGGGTAAAAAAGTACGCTATTTATTAATAAAAATCGAGTAGCACATTTACTTCATATTTATTAGCTTTTTCGCTTTTACTCTGTTCAAAATAGGTATCCTTACCAGTTACAGTATAAAGTTTTCTGACACTGTTCTCAAGAGAAATTTTAATTACTTTAATTTATTAAGGAACTGTAAACTAATGTGAAGGTATATCCCATGAAAAATATAACATATAAAAAAATGCAAATCTCGCAACGCAGGTCTTCTACCACAAAAAGTTTTGAGATCTAATGTTAAACTAAGTTGGTTTATTCATTCACTACCTATATATCATATATGGAGGCATCTATCCAATATCTTTGTCATAAATGGTTACCTAATTAGTTAAATAACACATTTTTAACCCCCGACGCAAAAAGAGGGGTGTTATAAGTTTAACGTCTATGTCTGTCTGTCTGTGTGTGTTTGTGTGTCTGTCTGTGGCATCGTAGCTCTCAAACGGATGGACAGATTTGATGCGGTTTTTTTCATTTTAAAACCAGTTTCCTTGCGGTGGTTCTTAGCTATGTTTGGTTAATATCGGTCCAACAGTGTAAGAGTATCAGCTGCTTTCCAAAATGATGTAAGGCATTTTGGCGTATTACTCGATTAAGTGCTTCACACGTGCCAGTGTAATCGTTAAATGACAATTAATTTGCGTAAGGGTTTTATAAATTTTTTATTTATAATACATATAGATATCGCATTAATATTATAGATATCTTCATTTCTTTAATAAACACAATGACTTGGCCATCGCACACGGCAAATAACAAAAACGTTAAAATAATATAAGCGTTCCGAGCGCATTATTTATGTTTGTGTATGCATAAATTTTACCCGATAGCAGATAGCTGTATGTTGAATTAGGACTATTTAAATAATAGATTATTCTTATGTGATTACGTTTCCGTCCGATAGTCAAGTCATTCTATTTATTCTAAAAACTTTTTGCGGTAGAAGATCTGCGTTGCGAGACTTGCATTTTTTTATATATTGCCTTTCATGGGTTTTTATTTTAGAGTTAGTTTTACAGAATAACAAATTAAAGCTAGGAAAATTGTGATACAAATAAGGTAATTTTAATAAATTCATAGTAAAAAAACAAGGCAGGATTAAACATAATATATAGTATACATTGCAATAAAAACTTTTATTTATGTATATTGGCCTATAATGATATTTAAAAAGCATAAAGAATAAAAGGGAATTAAAGGGCTGTATAACCAATATGGGTTCTAAATAATCGTTTCATTGTAATTAGTTTTATGTAAGTTAATTATTGTATATAAGTAGATACATATTTTTATTCTCACATAAAGGGGTTTGCAGTAAAACACATTTAAATTTCAAATTGTATTTATTGAAATCAAATACTAATACCAATTGCTTTAGACAACTGGCTTACTAATTCTAATACGTATGTATTATGTCACGAAAGTAACAACTAACACTAACTACTTGCTTATCGTAAGTAAAAATACTTTAGAGATAATAAAGATTACATATTGAAAGTAGGAACTTTTATATGACGTGCTTATTCATTGTACTGAAATCGTTAAGAAAACATTAATAAGCGTCATACAATCTAATAAGTAAGTACTTTTGACATTCAGTTCCAAAATAAAATTTAATAAAATAGCAAGGCGGATTATTAGGAATAAAAAAAGGTTCGCACATTGCTTTACAAAATACCCGTATTCCGGTTTAATAACTGATATAGAGAAGTGATCACAGTGTGCATTTGATGACTAATGTTGCCATTATTACATTTTCATTGCAGTCTTTATATTATTATAAATTATTTTTATACAGAAATTAATTGGTCATTAAAATAAAAATAACCGTGAAGCGAGTCGATTGTAGTATATCAATAAAAATCACAAGATTTAAGTTAATTTTAAAGTGATCAATATAATATGTACTTATTAGTATATATTATGAGACAGAACCTATAATTAGGTATCATAATAAAGTTATTCACGTGTACTTACAGGTACTAAAATGTTATAACGTTTGCTTTATTTGTTGTCGTCATAAGATGTTCGTTTCAGAAAAATTCTTACCGTGCACAATAACTAAAGAAATCTTCAAATTCACTATTTATCGCTTATTATACAAGAACTTATTATTGTTCACTAATAAAACGAACTATTAAATTATATTGTGATTACAAACAGTTCAGATGTGAATAAGCGACGTCAGCGAAGGGCATTATTCTAGTAGAGAGTGCTTGCTAGCTCTCCGGCGTTTCAATAGTGTCTCCATTCTTCGCGGTGCAGTGGTGCACGAAGGCGCTAGTGTTCTCATCATCAACAGTTATTCTACATATTTGTCCAACTCCACACACACAACTGTAAATATTTTTTTCTAAATTAATATAGTACTACTTAATATATAATAATAATAATGAAGTATAATATTAAAATTTTACTAGCGGCTCTCCCTCTCTTCGTTCGGGATAGCCTTTAGAAAAACAAAAACAAATCTATCCTAAAATAAATATTCTATCTATATAGATATATAAATAAATAAATATTTTTATCTATATAGATAAAAAGTACTCTATGTGTTATTCTAGACTATAATCTATCTCTGTGCCAAATTTCATCCAGATCCGTTCAGCCGTTCTGGCGTGAAACATCCATACATACTCACTAGGGCTTTCATCCGAGAGTCTCGGTCTCGGAAATTTCGAGAGTCTCGACGATTTTTTCGAGTATTCGAGACTCGAGACTTCTACCGCCAGTCCCGGGAATAACGAGACTTTCGAGATATAAATAAAATAATTAAGATTATTCAAAAATGTACTAAATCACCAGTATTTTTTTATTCCATTCACGTGGTAGCATTGTAAAGTGAAACTTAGGATAAGACCACAAAGGGAGGGAGGGATAACTAAACCGTGGCTCTATAACTATTTAATAATTATCCCCTATTTAATACTAGCGTAGAAGCAAAACTTTTTCTAACGCGGGTTAATTTTGTAATAAAATCATATCCTCTCTGTCTGAAAGTATGTACACCAAATACTCATTGTTTTTACGTGCCCACTGTAAAAATGAAAAAAAATATCATAAATAATATGTTCTTACTATGAAATTGGCGTTTTGTCGAACTGGCTACTTTGATCTCAAATATCTGGCGTTTGGTTAGGAATTCCAAATTTTTATTTCAAATTTAGACTTGCGTATTTGTTTTTCGAATTAAGATATTCATTTGTTGTCGCGCCTTTTGATTTTCTTTGACATTATTCATTCTGTTTACAATACGGAAAGGTTAATTCTAAATATCGCGTTATTTACGAATACGAGTTCCACCATGGCACCAGCGCTGCAGAAACAGATCGAAGGATTAATGATGTGTATGCGGAAGCTACTGTAAAAGAAAACATGGTTTTGGTTCCAATGTTTTCGTTCTGGAAACTTTGACTTATAGAACAAACCCCGTGGACGGCCGGAGGTCGACCATAGCAAACCACGTCAAAGTTACCGGCAAGCTTCGGTGTGATTGATAAAACAATTTTAATTTAAACAAAATGGGAAAAGTGAAAAAGCTCGAAAAATGGGTACCGCATGAATTGAGTGAAGCACACCAACGAACACGCGTCGTGGTGCGTTACATTACTCAACCGTCACAATAATGAGGGAATTTTGAATCCTGTACAATCATCGGAAACGCTCGTCATGGTTGAACCCAGGAGAAATGCCCAAGCGAAAGTTGATTAAAAAAAATATACAGGTAAGTGTCTGGTAGACCAGTGCTAGTGTCATCCACTACAGCTTCCTAAGAACTAGCCAGACAATTACTGTCACATTATCTGTATTGACAACGATTTTAAACCATGATGGAAAAGCTAGGCGTTAAAAAACCGAGACTGGTCAATTGTTCCAGCCCATTGCTGTTTCAGGACAACGCTAGACCACGCACTGCATAACAGACAGTCGCTAGATTAGATGAGCTGCGATTGGAATGTCCAATAACCGCCATACTCCCTGGACCTTGCTCCAACAGATTACCACTTTTTCCGGAATGAGGACAATTTCTTGCAGGGAAAAAAAACAATTCCGATGAGGCAATTAAAGCCACCTTCGGAGATTTTATTGATAATCGCTCTCACAATTTTGTCAGCAGATGAATCAATAAACTACCAATAAAATAGCGGAAAAGCATAGATGACAGTGGTAAATACTATGTGACTGATTAAATATATAATTTAAATATTTTTTCGTTTTCTTTTTCCATAAAAAACGTCAATTTCATATGTAAGGGCATAATAATTGTTAATTTTACTTGTATTGAGTTTGTAAGAGTATGGTTAATAAAGTACTTTATTGAAATACCTTCTATCGACTGCCTAACTGCCCAGCCTATGAGTATGAAACCATTTTTGGACTAGTCTCAAAAGTCTCGTTTTTCCCGGGAATTTCGAGACCACACTGAGTCTCGATTTTTTCCCGGGACTCATAAATATAACGAGACTGAAAGCGAGAAGAGAAAATACTCACAAACTTTCACATTTATAATATTTATACAGATATAAATTTTCTACGATCTTGTAAGTAGAGTGCCGTGTGTACTGTAGTTATGTTCAATTTTTTTTATTTTTTTATAAGATAAATTTACACTTATTTAACAACTTATATTAAATAAAAAGAACTAAAGCGAAGATTATGAAAAAACTTTCAATAAACAAAGTCCCATTACGTCAAGACTTTTATCAAGAATAGTGATAAAGATTAATTTATTACCAATCACGTCGCTAGAGAAATATTTACATTTTATTCATACCGCTCATATGAAAACAAAGTAAGAAAACAAATAACTCTGCTATTCTTAATTGCCTTCATATATTAAATTTTTTGTATTACTATGTTGCTTCCAACTAATAAAGCACCTATTGTATCTGATAAACATATCAGCTAGTTTCTGGAATTCGTCGAGTTCGAGAAAGCTGCGTCAGTTATAGTGTTTCTACAAAATTAGTAGGAAAAATAAATATGTAAAGAGAAATAATAAGATACCAATCCTACTAATCTTATAAACGCGAAAGTTTGCAAGGATGGATGTTTTTTATCCTCTCACGTAAAAGCTACTAAATGGATTATAATGAAACTTTACAGTAAGAAAGCCCAGAATATTTTTTTCATATCATCAGGGTAACACGTACGTTATAATTTTTAAAGATAAACCTAATAAATAATTGAAATACGCGTGCGGAGCCGCAGAAAACGCTAGATATATTATAAACGAACTTACTAAGTGTTTGTGATGTTTACTTCAATGAGTTTGACGCCAGGTCTGTAGATGGACCAACCACACGGAGTCCGAGGGGCACATATTTCAATGGGCTTACTTGACGTTGCACCGTTTTCGTCTTCAGTGTTGATTGCTCGCTGTAAAATATTATATTTTTTATCTTAAATTATTATAATAGTTTTACTCAACCTCCAGACTACCTACACTTGTATACTCTTAAGTGTAAATAAAAAAATGGCCCTCGGATTAATTACTTAATTTGCAAAAGAATTTGGAGTATTATTATATCTTAAAAATATTTAATTTTTCTTCAATAAAGTTAGTTACTACATATTTTATCCTAAATGTCTTCACTTAAACATTTTTACTTTAAAACTACATATCTTTATTAACTTGTAACGATACAGTGAAAGTATGATATTCGTAATTAATCCCTGTTCCAAATTAACATTTAAATTTTTATGACATACATTGACACATAGGTACTTAAAATATTTCACTAAAATGTGCCACGTCAATATAGACTAATCAAGCCGTTCTTATAGTTTCGCATTGAACTTAGAAGTCGCTTATATTTTAACTAGCGACTCACCCTTGCTCCGGGTTCGTCCCTACTTACGTTTTAACATTTAGTATAGATTTCTCAGAGATGAGATATTTTCCCGTAGCAAAAAGTATCCTATATGTTGACCCGGATAACCAGCTATCATCATATCAAATTTCATCATAATCCCTCTAATGGTTTTTCCGTGATGCGGTCACAGACAGACAGAGAAAAATTCTAAAAACTACCTATATGTAGATTCGCCTCTGTATCGATATCGATCGATGATGTCTATTTCAATAAGATTTTCCAAGAAATATTTAATGTATAGATTCGGCTTGGTTACAATTTTATTATATGTATAGATTACGTAATTTTTTTTAAAATTCAAATATGAATTTTATCTTATTACTTCTTCTGAGTTCCTTAAAAGTCAAATTAAAAAAATCATATACCTATAGCGCTTTAGCTTAATCAGTAGACGGTTACATTTATCACTGGCATACTCCCATTAATGATTGAAATAATGAACTACAAAAAAAACCTACTTCAAAATACTAAAAAGTAAAAAAATAACTGAACAGGGGATTTCATTTAGGTACTTAAACAGGTATTTTCGAAGTCGATGCCAGCCGACAGCGCTTTAAGATATAAAAAGGTAAATATGACAAGGTATGAACTTTAAATATATTTTAAAATACATCAATTTGTGATTTAAGCTTTGCTTTGATTTGTATTGGCCACCACCACCACTTATTGACCATTAAAAATCAGGCTCTAAAATCTAATTCTAACGTAATGGACTCGTCAAATCAAACAGAATAAGCCCAATCTCTAAGTATCTATTATATATTAGCCGTTGAATAGTTCCACTATCCACCTTCTGTTCTGGCCTTGCTATCAGATTAGCTCGACGATACCGAATCACTCTACTATCAACGGAAATACAAACACTTGCTAAGTTTCAAGTCAATATGACAATAATTAAAAGTAGGTTAAATGTTGCTTAGCTAATTTTTCCCCATTAGGGGTGGTATTTTTTTTTCTAATTTAAATAGGACTGTACTAAGGAAGTATACACTTTCTTTACAAAACAAAAATTGACCAAATCGGTTAATAAATAACGGAGTTGTGAGCTACAAACAAACATTAAAAAAATACAACCTAATTGAGAACCTCCTCCTTTTTTGAAGTTAGTTAAAAAGAACACTGTAAGTGTTGAATTGTAAATACTGAATACATAAGTTCAAATTAATGCGCTTAATGAGTGTCATAGTTAATGTTTAGTTAAACATTATTACTTTACTATACGATAATAAATAGGAACCCCTGTTATCATATGGATTTTACGATAAGCTCTAATAAAATTGTCCGATGACAAATTGTGCAATATAAAGTAAGACTACATAGAGTATATTTATTACGGCTTATTTAATATATTTAAGTACAATTTATATATTATACGAACATAGATTTTTTGTACGGTTATTCTGTACTGACGTCTGTATTGATTTTATCAACAAGCTTTACTCGGAAATCTTTTTTGTTTGTTATCTATCCTTGATCGAAGTCAATTAGTATTCCATTAGAATTTTGAAGTAATCAAATTATTTCCTATTATATAAATTTATTATTAAAGACTTATTTTCTTATGTATAATTTGAAGACCTCATAAGCCAGCTTAACACTATAAACAATTCATGGCAAATATAGCTGATATTTATATTAAGCTTACATACAAATATAACTGAAACTGTATTCTACTTGTTTATTGTGTTAAATTTCTTAAAAGTGTAGTATTCGTTACTTCCGTAGCAGTACCCCTGTAAGTTGGTGTATGGATGATGTCACCGTACGACGTCGTACGTTGCGCCCTTGAGCGTATCCGGCGCGCCTCACGCCACGCTTGGTTCGTTGTTAGGGCGCGTGCACACGTAAGATCGATTGCTGCATCGATTGCAAGGGGCGTGGCTTATATACATCCATACGCTTATATTTGGATCAACTTTTAAATTATTATTATTATCAATTAAGTTCGAATTATATCGAAGAAGTTACTTTACTTATCTAAAAAGAACTACAGAAATATTTATTTTTTATTATAATAGTAGCTTAGATAAGACAACATGCCTTGAACATGTGGTTTTATCGCTTCTAGTAAATGTCACTCAACATAAATTAATTTTATCAAAGGTTGACAAGCGACCAAGGGTAGACAATTCCTATTCAAACAATTGATTTGATTAATATAGCTTTAAGTTTTTCCTTCGTAATAAAATCAGAGCTAACAATCAATATGCTAGTATTACGATCAACGATATTATGATAATTATTATAATACTTTAGTATTTTTTTAAGATAAATTTTCAAATGAAAGATTCGTTTAACAATAATATAATTTATTTACAGTTTGACTGGACGTTGTAGGTAATATATACATACCTATAGAAAAATAAATACTCGACAAAAGTGTACTAAGGACTATTTGGTAAACGATATTAAATATGACATCTATAACGCATATAATTTTATTCATTTTATAATGTAATGATATGAAAAATAAACGACAATGTAGTCATAGCCGTAGACGTACGTATGTGCCGAATCAAAGAATGAATGGCGAAATCAAACACAGTACACACCGTCGCAAGGAAGCGTCGTATATCATGTAAACAGGAAGTTGTGCTGCGTAAACGGTAAGCAGGTCGTTGACCATTACTTTTTTGCCCTCAAATATATTATGACAGCAAAGTTTTCCAAGTGAGTCACGTGTGATTATGCGCATCTAATCGTTCTACTGATAAACAAAAACTATCTAGTTTATTACAAGTTCAAACCTCCGTACACTTTACCGCTACCTTGTATATGTACTATGTACATAACATTAAAGTCATGACAGCAGTAATGAAATGCAGAAATCTTATCTGTGATATTTAAGGTATACGATATTAGTAGTTACTCGTCAATAAACAAAAAATAATTGCAATCATATACCAAATAGTCTTAATACATAGTTCGTTTTTATTTGTCTAATAGCTAGCTTACTTCCCCATACAAACTTTCATCCCCATTCTCACCCCTCACTAAAACTATTTCACTCACTCACTTTTCATACAATGAAATTAAAAATAATCTCATTTAATTAAAAAAAAATCTTTCTTTGAACTTTCTTCGATACAAAGCTTGTCCTGACAATAACAAACACAAAAAAAAAGAATTATCCATTTTGGTGCTGTCGATCGGAAGTTATGCGCGTACATACATTTTGATGATTCATTTTTATTTATATACATAATATATATATATATATATGTTACATAATACCTACAAAGTCAATTTGTAAACACAGTATATTATTGTTAAATGAATATATCACTTGAAATCTCTTCCAAAAATACTAAAGCAGTGAACCAATAAAAAAATAAAATTATAAAAAAAACTGACTGGAAACAAGGAGACGATATATTATGTATATATGTATGTATGTACGACGTACATACGTACTGCGTACGTCTTCTCGTTATAGACAGCTCATTCTCAGGCCCCCTGGCTTCAACAAATAAACAAATTACGATTGTTTATGTTACGTTGTTTTTTACCTAAATATATTTAGTTTTCAAGAAAATGCCAATATTTTTAGTAGCATGATACTTAAAATAAATTGATGAGTACCAAGTTTATGTTATGAATCTAACTAATCTATTTATGAAGCGGTTGCTCTATCAATATAATAAAATTTGATAGTCTAGGCTATTTGTTGCTTAGTACCTAATTGTAATCATTGTGATTCGTTATGTAGGTGAGAGGAGTCGGAACTGTGAGATACGTGATGTCAGTCACGACGCTCAGCGGCATCCCGTCATCAATCAATTTCTCTACATTTTAAGAGTTCCGTGCCTAAAATAAATAGTCGGAACTATTAGAAAAATGTTAAGATGTACCTTTAGAATGTTAATTCCAATGAACAAAATAACAATAAAACTTTTACTGTACCTGATACAGTCAGGGATAAAGTACTTTTATATTTTTTTGATTACTGACAAGAAAAATACATGTATATAAAAAAAAATGTTTTACAATTTATAATTTAATGCAATTCTTTTATTGCATACACTTTATTTTTAACACCAAGTGACTTTTTATTAGATACTACTATAGTCGAAAATATATTTTATATTGTAAATGTATAAGCATCTGTAACTACATTTGATTTGTTTTTCATTTGCAATTGTCAACTAGTTCATAGAATGTTTTGATATTGGCGTAGGTCAGTTAAGTCGCAGCATCAACCAATGACGTAAGTACTGAGGTGCATGTGTATACTAATGTTTTTATAACAATACCTACCTATTATATATATAAAAAATTAAAATAAAATATATAAATATTATTTTCAAATGGTTATTTTTCATAAAAATTATTTATCATTATAAAATATTTATTAATCACTCTGAACACTCTGTTCTTATAAACAGATTTTTAAAATTTACTTATTTGCAGTAACACATATTTAATCAATAAAAGTTCCAATCATTTGATATACTTGATTACAGACAAACGTTACATAAATATGCCGAGCTTTGCATATTTTATTTAGTTACCGCCAAGAAAATATTAATGTAAAAATAAAAATAATTCCGTTCAACATTCAAAACATTAAATATATAAAAAAATCTCATACTGTTTAAGTTCTTATTTAATGAAAGAGAATTGCGCAAATAATTCGATAAACAAGTTTTTGTTTACATAGATTTTATCAACCAGCAAAATCTAACTAAAGTTTGTGGAGCATAAAGGCACTTACCCTATGTCTCGGGACCAAGGCGGCCGTAAGGGTGCAGAGTGCCAACAGAATGAACAGTGCTCGATTCATTGTCACCAGGGATGAGAGAACCACAAATGGGGGTAGTCAAAATGAAGGAATTTTCAAGTTTCCACTAACAAAGTACGGTGCACGCGGTGGCGGATCGTGATGGAGTGCCGGCGGCGGGCGGGCGCCCGCTTATAAGTAGCTTGGAGTGGCCCCACCGTCGCAGCGTGCCGTACCAAATTTTCCTAATGGAGAGGTTACACTCTCGTGAGAGGCGCTAGTTGAGGATATAACACTGGCAATGAAATGCAAATTTAGAATTTAGTATTGCCTGACATAAAGTATATTGAACTGATAGTAAATATTGTAACTACTTAGTGTAAAAATATTTTTCCATCTCATAAACAAAATCACGGCTATTTATCTTAAGCAATTATCACGAATTATTGTTGCGACTTATATGACATGAATGGACGATCATATTATATGAGTACATTTACGATAACAGATGATGCGCACGCGAGCAATCAATAAACATGAAATGTTTGTTATTTTACTTAAATACTACGAGATCGATGGTCTTGAATTTGCTTGTTACATACAATAATAAATAATTGTACTAGATATGTCAACAAGTCTTTATTTGAATAAGCAATAGCTATATAGGGAATAAATTCATTTTATAACACGTGCCAGGCAATTGCCCTTGAATCTAGGAACAAACTTATGTTAGTGGATATTTTTTGTAATTATAATCATTAGGCATGTTATTATTATCTATCACTTAAGTGTTATTTGTTCTATGTTTCTCGAAAAATAATAAAAATAATTTCGTAAAATAATTCTGTACATTAATGTTTAAAAATATATTTAATAATCCTAATGTTAGTAAGTAGTAAAGCGCGCCCGCCCTCAAATAACGCGTGCCCTGACGGTGCGTGCATAAGAATTGCATCATCCATCAAAAGCACCATAAAGTTGTATTTTGTTATAGATATTTATTCAAACATAACGACGATTCTGTAACAACGATTCGTTGTTTTATTTTTCTTTTATAAAAGGAATCTTATTTAACTTTATCAAAACCGATTCAATATGGAAAAGCTTTTGGGTTTTTGCCGAAGCTCTTACATTATATAGGTATTATAGGTTAAAAAAAAAAACTATAACAATAAAGAATAACGCAATATTCGTAATGAAATGACCCTACCATATTTTATTGCTGAAAGAAACTTAATGACACACTTAATCGAACGGACACTTATATACGTTCCTTATCATATAGAAAGCGCGTACATAAGGAATTTTATCCTGCATATTGTACGTCCTTGCGGGGTCTAGATAAACTAACAATATATTTCGCAATAATAAATACTTTTGAAATTATTGTAATTGGGGTTCCGTACCTCGAAAGGTAAAAAAAGGAACCATTATAAGATCACTCTCTTTTCCGCCTGTCTGTACGTGTGTGTCACCACCGATTTTCTCAGGAACGGGTGAACCTAGCAAGTTGAAATTTATTCCAGATACTGAGGTCTATAGGCCCTTACGTTTGGTTAGATTATTTATTAGGTGTATAAAAATCAAGGTCCTGAGTCAACACAATAAAAAGATATGGGCAAGTTTAGATTTTCGCGAAAACTTGTACCTATGTAGCAAAATTTACCTTAATTTTCATCTTTTTTATTTTTCGGAATTTCTCTTTACTTGTGCTGTAAGACTTTGCTTTTAACTAAAATCGACAATTCTGGGTCATCCGGAAGTACCCTATAGGTTTTGAATCGAAAACCTACATAGTAGTTCCGTCGACTTACGAAATTTGGCAAAAAGCAAGGTCATAAGTATAGCACAAATAAAGGAAAAATTCCAAAAAAAGGAAAAGTTAAACAGATTTCCCACAAATTTGTACGGAACTCTCGGTGGGCGAGTCCGGCTCGCACTTGTCCGTAAATTTTTTTTCAATTAAAATGAAATTATTGAAATGTATACTTAATACATATAAAACACCTATCTATATTTAATACATAAATTAATATATGTAATACATCAATTATAAACTTAATTTTACTAATTAATTCTTCAAGGTTTACAATTAGACCTAACTAGAACTAAAGGTTTTTTTTGCATTGGCCTATAAGTATGAGGGTAGCCGCTAAAATAAATATATAGTTCTATAAGGATATGGGTAATTATGGAAATGGGTAAAAAAATAGAAATTCAACATCAATAGAAATAACTAAGTTTTTTTTTCAAAATTTTTACTCATTACTCATTAGTAGTACATTTACTTACCTAATATTTTTTTTATTAAAAAAACGCACCGATCGTAGTCGAAATCTGCTATTAGGTAAGTATGTGATAAAATTGTATGTATGTTAGGGATACTTAGCGCAGGTTTTAGGCTGTTTCCGGGGCAGAGGCTGACTGCTACCAGACGCGTCCCCGGGTGGTGGATAGGGGAACACCACTCGCACCTGTTTGGACCCGACAGGAGCTTGTGGTACCGGAGCAATCCGGCGCGGACCAACAGCCAGGAGGGAGGGTTGAGGGAGCGGCGTTAGGAGGGCGCCGTCTCCTTCTTGGAGGTAGCGCGGTGTCTCCGGCCGTTTCGCGGTAGGAGGCGCTGCGCGGGTCACACTGCCGGGGCTAACCCGTCGGTGCGGCGGCTGGAGCGGGGCCAGTTCGGTGGTCCTGCGTCTGGCGAAGGATGTCGGCAGCCATTTTGGTCCGGAGGTGGGCCGACGGTAGGGGGGCCGCGGGGGAAGTGGAGTGTCGGTATGGCGATGCGCCGCTTGTCCCTATCTCCCGCGGCTTAGCGGGGCCACCACCGTTGATGATGGACGCGGTGGGGCTGCAGGGGAAGGGGAGTGTCGGCGTTGTCGCATCCTCTTCTCCTGCAGCCGTTTGTGGTTGGGCTCGTTTTCGGGCGTCTTTGGGAGGGGGTTTTGCCCAATTTGGGTGGGGAATTATTTTAGCAGGTTGCCCACTTCGGTGGGCGGTGTTTGTGTGGTGTAGGGCTGCTCCGGGTACTTCTCTGATCAGCAGAGTGGACTTAGGAGCGGCCTCACGTCTTGGGTTGTAAGTCTTCCCATAATGGGGTTGTCCCGCTTGGGGCGGCCTCATGGTTGGTGGCTTCGGCCAACCGTCGGGGCGTCGCGGTTGTATGCGAGAGCGATCCCGTGGCGTCCCACATGGCGGCAGAGGGGGAAAGTTGGGTTTTAGTGGGTATGCCGGTCTCATTAGCCGGAGAGTCTCCACATAACCACCCCGGGGGAAGTCGGGTGGTATCCGTAATAGGATTTCCCAACTATAAAAAAAAAAAAGGTTTTAGGCTGTTGTAGTGTGTGCGCAAGCGATCCTGCAACGCCCCATTGCACTGCGGCGATGGGTTCGGTTGTGGGTTTTAGTGAGTAGGAGTCTCACAGTACCTTGCCCGTTATGACGGCCGGCAGGGTCCCCATGATGGGTTTCCCCAGCGAAAACAAAAAAAAGGTTTTAGGCAAATTAATAGGATTTTTTCTGTTTTTGCCAGTCTGGACATAATAATAATAATTAAAAATCACAAATCAGCTTGTGGCGAGCTATTGGTGAGTGGCGATACTACGGACCTGAGATCTTCCGGGAATCAGATCCGTTCAACCGTTCTGGCCTGAAAGAGTAACAAACATACATCCATACATACATTCTTACAAACTTTCGCGGTTATAATATTAGTAGGACTATTAAACCTCCAGGTAAATTTCTAAGAAATTAATTAAATTTCTAAGAAATCTATTATTAACTGTAACGCCGACGTGTCCGCGGTCGCGGAGGGATTAAACATTTAAAATCAAATTAAATATAAAAATACAATGAACTTTAAAAAAGAAATGTTTCGTGAAACGATTTAGGAAACCTCGTTCTATGAGTAAGTAGAGATATTTTTATTTTACAGTCTCAAAACTTCCACGTGTACACTGTACAGCGTTGTACATTGGTTTTAATGAATCTATAAAGTTATGACTAACTACATATAGAAATTTTAGGCAAAGCAGTATATAAGACCTTGGGAGTGTTCATGGCCGTGGAAAATCTAGGATCCGGAGAGTCTATTCCAAGAATAGCTAATGCATTCAGATGCCAGTTGGTGTAATCGAGTGAACTGAATTGCATACGCCATAGCGACATTATAAATTGCTGTAAATCAATTTTCATTTTTAGGGTTCCGTATCCATTCTGATGGGACTTTATTACTAAGTTTATTCGCCTTTTAAACTATATTCAGTAATTTTATACACTTCAAAGCGTGCCAATTGTACATTTATTAAACAAATGTGGCAGTAATATGTATAATTTTTGGAAGATGGTAGCTATAAATTTTATTTTTAGATACATATAATATAATGTAAATTGTAATATACATCATACTAGTTCATAGAAGTAGTTAATCAGAAAAATATAAGCCATTTATCTAAAACTAAACTCTAAATACATTTTTTTTCTTTACCACTCTTTTTTTTTGAAAATGCATATGCCAGAAGAAACGACTTAAGATTTGGTAATGATTAGGTAAAATGATATTAATTTAAATGTATATCATTAAATGTCTTAAATTATAATTTTAAAATATGGCGTAACGCAATTAAAAATTATGGACAAGTGCGTCTCGCCCATCGAGGGTTCCGTACAAATTTTTAGGAAATCTGTTTAACTTTAATTTTATTTATCTTTTATTTTTTCAAATTTTTCCTTTATTTGTGCTGTAAGACCTTGATTTTTGCCTAATTACTTGATTCTAGGTCAACGGGAACTACCATATAGGTTTTCGACCCAAAACCTATAGGGTACTTCCGGTTGATCTAGAATTATCAATTTTGGTTAAAAGCAAGATCTTACAGTACAAGTAAAGGGAAAATTCCGAAAAATAAAAAAGTTGAAAATTATGGTAAGTCGTGGTTGCCCATATCTTTTTATCGTCTTGACTCAGGACCTTGATTTTTATACACTTAATAAATAACCTAACCTAACCTAAAGGACTATAGACCTCAGTATCTGGAATAAATTTCAATTTGCTAGGTCCACCC